TTCACCGCCTCACAATTTGTCATTCGTGAAAATATCTTTACCCTTTGGATGCAAAAAAAAAAAAAAAACATTATTTACCAAAACGAGAAACGATATGGCCAGAAACCATGATGTTCGATAAAACCGCGTTCTACGAAACAGCTTCGATGAAATTGGGTTGAATTAAATGGCGTTCAATTAAATAACTTTGATAGAACATGATTCAATAAAATGTCGACAGCTGCGAAGAAATGATGTTAGATCGGTTTGTAAAGGTGAGCTTTTCTTCGCATCTATCAAAAGTCTGGTGAGCTCTTCTCCGCATCCGCCGGATTTCTGTGAGCTTTTCTCCGCCGGAGAACAGCGCAATTTTGAGGAGCTCACGGGAAGAAAATTCACCGCAAAACTGACAGATGCTGAGATAAATCCACACAAGACTTACACGATCAAGCTTTTAAATTTAGTAAAACATAAAATAGCGCAAAAAAGACAAGGAAAAGAAGTATACAGTACAGGCGCTAACTTCCAACTAGTTTTATTCGGGAAAAGTAAACATATATATATACACGCGACAGACAAAGCAGCACCACGTAAAAGTTGATTAATTGTTTACCCGATCAATAAAAAAACTGAAATTAATTACAATGAAGTACAATAGAAGTGTGGCTGACACATGCCGTCCCAGCTTTTTTTTTTTTTTTTTTTTTTGATAAAGAAAGCTTTTAAATAGCTTATGAGCGACCGTCTCACGGCTTCTACCCAGAATCCTTATCTGCTGAAATCGCGGAACACAACCACAGGTGTGGCAATGTATTGGCTGCGAGCACGCATTATCAGTAAAGAATAAATAGGCTGAGTTCCGCGACTTCAGCAGATAAGGGTACTAGGAAGAAACCGAGAGACGGTCGCTCGAAAGCGACACTTCTATTGTACCTCATTGTAATATGAATTTCAGTTTGTGAATGATCGGGTAAAAAATTAATCAACATTTACGTGGTGCTGATTTGCCGGTCGCGTGTCTATATATGTTTACTTTTTCTGATTAAAACTAGTTGAAAGTTAGCGCCTGTCCTGTATATTTCTCGTCCTTGTCTTTTTTTTTTTTTGCGCTATTTTATATGTTTTATTAAGATGAACCAACTATCCCAACAACGTACCCTACTAAACTTTTGAATTTAGCATTTGCGACTCTACTCTGGGGGCCCTGTGGAGAACACAAACGAAGATATATACAAAATTCGTATAGACGCTTTGCAGCAGCTGTGCATGGACGCCGCCATAACTGACCTTCAGTTTTTGTTTCCTCTTAGTTCGATTATTTCCCTTCATCATTACCATAGCAGGACAGGTTATTGCCATATTTGATTCAACTGTGTTCTTTTCTAAAGCACCGGCCTTCGTAAAGGATCGTTAACTACCGTTTCAGTTGCTCGGCATCTCGGTTAGACAAGAGAAGGTCAGAAATGGCAGATGTAATTTGGCGCGTGTGTAAAGCGTCTATATTACGGACGCCAATAGGAATGAAGAAGCAGAAGTTCACACTTACCCAGGATGGGAACAACTAACAAATTGATAGACACATATTTTGCTTATTGTTTTTTTGGAAGTAGCACTATATCGCGTAAGCAGATGAGTGGAAAGGTCTCCTCCCCCAGTGCATCTGGATTCTGGAAAAGTTCCTATCGGAGATGAAATTCTGGGATATCCTCTTAACATCCATTCATCCATGGACGCACACTAAGGTACTTAGTAGAGAAAGGGATCCGCGGATCACAGGAGTTGGCAAGTGTATCAGCATGCTCGCAATGACATTGGACAGAGATACGGGCCTTCTTATCTGTATAATTTGTGTGTGTGTGTATGTGTGTGTGTGTGTGTGTGTGTGTGTGTGTGTGTGTGTTGGATCGGTCTTACTTGTCTTGCTGGTGCGGCAGACTCATATCATTTTCAAAGCGGTAGTAAATTCCGAGCTCTATACAGTAATTTTTTTTTTTTTTTGTTGAACTGAGTTTTTTTTTTTTTTGATGCTATGGGTCGTTTTACTTTCTTTTTTGTGGGACTAGCAGATGTCCTTTTGAAGGCGGGGGTGAGTTCTGTCATAGCCTATGGTTCTGTCTACCGTAGAATACCGCACATCCGCCCATTCCACACTAAGCGCCCACCAGGGACGTAGCCATGCAGGATTTCGTTTCCGAGAGGAGGGGGGGGGGGGGGGGGGGGGCGGGCGGGCGGGCCCCATGCCCCCCTCCCCCCCCTCCCCCACCCTTTGGCTACGTGCCTGGCGCTCACACCCAAATTTGTAAGAACTGAGAAAAAAAAAATATATATATATATGGGCCACGGAGTTCTGGATCGTCGAGCTGTACCGGTGAGTTGCTGTCAATAAAGGGGGGAAAAGGGAAAGATAGATAGAGTAATTTAAGCCCTGGGGATGTGTTAATGGCCATGGCGGCCTCTAGAAAAAAGGTGAAATTAAGTAATTAGTTAGCTAATTAAATAAATGTTTTAACTAACTTTTTTTTATTTTTTCAGTTGAGGGAATATAATGTAATTAGAAAATTGAAGCTCAACCTCAATATGGTCTAGCCCTGCCATCAAAGTTCGGTTAAAAAACTTGTACTAGACGCTGCGGAGTCAAGAAATGTCACTTTGGTGCACGGCGTCAAAACGAAACTAAGCGAGAAAGAGCGCCGGTAAAGTTATCGCATCGCCCTTCCGGCCCCCGTGGATCGTCGTTATCGTAGCCAGCTTCGTGTAAGGAAGTGGAGACGGCCGCGATAATGACGAATCGCATGCCCGGGTAGGCGGAACGATAACTTTACCGGCACTCTTTCCTATTTAGTTTCGGCTCGACGCTATTTACCAAAGTGACATTACTCGACCCCGTAGCACCTACTAGGAACTTTTTTATCCAAAGTTGACGACACGGCTGGACCATATTGTGCTCGATCTTCTGTCCTCTAAATACATTATGTGCCCTTAAGTGAAAAATAAAAAATGTTCTAACTAATTACCTAATTTCACCTTTTTTTCTAGAGGCCACCATGGCCATTAACACTTCCCCACGGCTTAAATTACACTACCTCACGTTCCTTTTTCGTCTCTTGAAAATGTGGCGCAGCTAAAAAAAAAAAAAAAAGAAGAAGCACCCTGTATACTATTAACCATGCCTATGTTCCAAATCTACTCTAATGGATCACATGGGAGCACGAATAGAGCAACGCTGTGGAGCAAGGAGGGTTTTCGAAGGCAAAAGTACAAGACGGCGAGAATGAAAATCTGAAGCGGGGCCCATATGGTCGTGTGTAATCTGTTGACCAATCACAACTCAAACGCGCTCAAACGTCAAGTGCAATTAAGTAGGTTGATAATGAGCCAGTAGTGATCAGTGATAAGGAGCTGTTGTACGCGGCATTCTGTAAATCGCCCAACGACGAAAGAGACGTACCTTGAGGTGATGTCAGAACGACGCGGGCTCCAATGGGCTTTAATTTAAAAGACAGAAGGTGCACTTCAACGCTAGATGACTTGGGGATTACCCACTATTTTTTTCATTCAGCCAATAAGAGCTCAGCGTCCTGACACCCGACACCATCGCAACACCTTTGCAAGAAGCAAACTAACTTGCGCTCCGCATTAGTCTGTTTGAAATCTCGAGATCCGAATACCGGTTTTGCTTTGGTGCCGGTTACAAGACTATTTGCTGTTACGGTTTCAACACGGGTTTCCTTTCCAAGTACGCTATTTTGAAGAGCTTGCGAGGGTGGATCTCATGCCAGTTTTTCCATTGCAAAGCACTGCTGGTGTTGTAACCATAGTTGCATAACTCAGCTAGTCATTGCAGTGGGCCATCTCACAGTCCAGTTTTCCCAAGTGCAAATGCATGGTCTGTTCAACTGACAGACTAAGTCAGCAGCATGGGACTTGCAAGCATCACGTGAATTCTTGGAACGCTCACCTTCAGTAAACGGCAAACAGCTGAATACAAAATGGTGGACGGAACTCGGTCATTTTCATATTCCACTTCAGCTCCTTACCTTTTGACAGGCCATGTATGAACCAAAAGCCCATGCAACTGAAGCATAGCAACTCTATCTTGACACACGTTTGCATGTACAGGACACCACCTGAATGCCACACCTGCGTACACTATATTATAAAAGTGAAACTGCAGATCTTTATAGATACCCCAGCTAAATAAGATACGGGATAGTTCATTGCAACTCGGTCAGAGGAGTAAGCCGATAGGAAGCTGGAGAGGGAAACCTCTCTCCAGCATTCTGCTCGCTTCCTCCTCCCTAGTCTTCCTTTCACTCGCCCTACCTTCTTGAGTTGCAACGGACTATAGATTTTAAGTCGTTCAGTTCTTGAACCCCAAATACCATGCAGGTAAAATACACGAATTAGCACTGCTGTTGCAACACGCTGTCCCTGAGGCATTTTCTACGAGGCTCCTTCCTTCAAATTGACATCTCTAATAATGTAGCAGACTCTGTAATACAGAGAAGCATCATTAATATGGACACCTCCGTTCCCGTAAAAGATCCTCCATAATGCGAGTTGTCCATAATAACAAGACGAAAAATGCATGCCTTTTTCCAGTTTGTTCCCGAAGCTGTTGTCCATAAAGTGGGGTACCCATATTAATGAGACACGACTGTATCAAAATCAAATGGAAGGTTAAACTGCTAAGGTAGTTAAGTCGTGAAAACGAACGAATGGCTGCCAAAGCGATATAAATGTTTGAGGGGCACGAGTCAAAATTTTTCCTTGTCACCAGCCATTTTGTGGTAAGTCATCCAGGCTAGCATGGCCTCGCAGTGCCAAAGCCTCCCGCACCGCTTCGAGAGCTAGTGCACGAAACTTCCTCAGGCATTCGAACGTTCATGTAGCTTTGACAGCGTTGAAGCACGAGAAAAGGCATAGTCGCCCATAAAATCTCCAGGTGTGCATCCAGGCCAACTGTGCCACTCCCTGCATGTCGCACCGTCATCCTGTACACAGAGCTAGCGGGAGACACACAGATTTATCAGATATTTATTAAATTAAGTTCATTGTTAAAAACCAAAGCAGAAAAAAAAAAAAGAACTAAAAACGTTAATATGTACAACAAACGTATGGGCCGCGACCGCATCACAGGAACTCGTCGCACCAGTCGTAAAGGCACTGGTAACAGTCCGACGCCTGCTTGCTGTTGGCGGCGCATATGTCCTTCATCCACTCGACAAACAGGCCCTTGTTTTTCTTCAGCACCAAAAACTGCCCCAGCACCACACTGGCCTGAAAGTAAAGCATTAAAATCTTAACCAGCTGCGAGGCAATGTCAATCTTTACGTTCTCACTATTGTCGCTGACAGAGCAAGAATGGCTGGGCGAGCGTTTCGAACGCCCGGCTTCCAGCGTGCATTTAGTGCCTTTTGTTCTTCGGCCGCACAAGTACACTCGAAATGCAGCAAAGAAACGTAGAAGCGTCGAAGGTAGGAAGCTTCTCGTCTTTCCATTCCCACTTTGTCGGCAACTAGAGACCCTTTTACTCTTTGTAAACGCAAGCCGTCTCTCAGCTCTCCAAGAGATCCCCGGTCGCACCGTTCTGGCAGGCCTCTAAAGCCCACGGACGTCGAAACTCCCAGGACGGTGAAGTTGTGCGGAAGTCCGAGTTGAGGATTTAGCGAGGTCCTGGTGTCGTGCCAGTAGACGTGCGAGAGGGAATCCAGTCGCCTTACGGGAGCAATCAAAAATCTCCCAACAAATCTCGCACCAACGATCCTTTAGTTGTCCACCTAAAGGACTTGTCGTAAAATATTATGTGAATGTTACAAGCAGTGCTATGGTGGGGAATGGTTGTCCTCCACTAGAGCAGAAGTTTGCAGGGATGTGAATTGCCAACGGCGCCTCCCTCCAGCGCTTCAAGGGCAACTCCGGTCAATTTGGAAAATTCTAGGATTACAGAAGATTACTATGTCAACAAAACAACTAATAAACAATTCTATGTCATTTGTTTTCCGAAAAGTTGGTCTTCTTGCAAACCTTGGTTAAACGGAAATCGCAAAGCGAAACCAAAACCTTGCCCACGGCAGACAACATTGGTTCTGCTTGTCAACTACTGGACATCACGTGGTACGGAGACATTGGTCATAGCATCAATGAAACGGCGAAGGGCACCACACGCTCCCTTTTTTCTCTTTCGCATTCGCGCTTCGAAAAGTAATGTCGCACCGACCTTTGAGTCGCTAGATTTAACTAAACTTCATAAAGAGCACATTCGCCAAAAATTAAAGCGGATGTTCGGCCTGCCAATATTTTAGGTGTAGCCAGCTCTACCAAGCTAGGAGCTGCGCAAAGTCCTCGCCGCTCTCTGAACCAAACATTCCAATCCTCACGGACAGTTCATTAAAGGCTGCGTCCAAAGCTGACAAAAAAAAAAAAAATCTATAGGAGAGCTTTTTTTTTTTTTGTCAAGCTGAAGTACTCGTTATTCCAGGACAGCTCTAATTCGGGGTTTGTCGGCATTTACCAAGAAACACGAAACCCCAGTTATAAACTGGCAGATTGATTGAATACTGAAAAACCTCCACTCTACTGAAATACAGTTACAGGACCACCCCACAGATGGCACCAGCGTTTTCCTGTACACCAATCGCAAGGAAGCACTAGGCTCCACTTTGCACTCGGTTACAGCCAAACGCAAGTGTGTGTCAACCAGCGTCATGACACATCCAAAGACCATACCCAGCCCAATTTTAATTTAGGCAAGCTGGGAATATTTTCTCATTTTTCAGTACCAGTACCAGTGCCCGTATCCATATCCATATCACGACCAACTCTATAAAGGGCGACCAGCTCACCTCCTCCTGCCCCAGCGCGCCGCTTTTTGTTTTGCTTGTTCAGTTCTTTTTAGTTCGCCTAGTTCCCGCCGCTCCCGCTGGCGCTGCTTAGAATCTCCACTTTCCCCGCTGCTTAGTACGCTCGGGAAGCTTGGGGAGGCTAGTACAGGCCGTCTTTTGGCACGTGCACACATGGACGCGTGGTTTTTTGGGCTGTAAAATAGCCTAACGGTTAATGGTAAAGTGGAACTAAACGACGGGCTGTGATGGTCTTCTGCTGTGTGCCGCTTTGCAAGTCGAGCACGCGGACTTCGACGGGGGTCGCTTTCCACGAGTTCCCGGTGACGGAGATCCGGAACGACTGGCTGAAAAAAATCTCTTGCCAAGCAGAGGGCAAACCAGTTACCCACCAAACTATGTAGCATAATGAGAAAATAGATTCTCTTCATGTTCATAACACAAAATAGGTCGTGGTACATATAAGTTTACAGCGTCATCCTTTACACGCCGTGTTGCGAATGTTGGACGCTGTATTATAACCTTCCTCATTTTGAGCGTTTAGTTAAATATGCAGTGATGCTGATACACCTACGTACCGGATCAGCCGTCATTCATCGGAAGGAATGATGTTCACGTTTTAATGTTGCGAGCTCGCGAATTTCAGATGACGCGGAACTTACCGACAGGGTGTATATTTTATTTATGAGCATGTTAGACGTCGTTTGTTTATCTGATACTGCTTACTGTATTCGTCACCGTTTTCGAGGTAGTGCGTCACTAATAAAGAAGTTAGTTGTCTGTGTCCTAGTGAAAATAAAAGAATAATACTAAATACACAGCTTGTCTCTGTCTCCTATTCTAACCATTGTTATGAGTCCGCCTATTTTAATGGTCTATTTTAAACATTTTTACGCTTTTGCCTTTCCTACAGCATTATCTCAAGAGATTGAATATACGTTTTCTTCATGTATACAATATAGTACGTTCATTACAGGCCTGGCAAAACATTTATGAGCGGACAAGAGCCATATCCGAAAACCGAAACTAATATATTTTTATTGAAATTTGGAGTATTTCTGGGTGTGCATTCTTCACAAAAGGTATCAAACTAAAGCCGGTCGTATTAAGTGAGAAAAAAGACTCGAAGCTATACTGACAAGCAAGCACTCCCATTGGTCCCCCCGTTGGCTTTACATGAACTTAGCTCTTCTCAAAGGAAAAAAATAAATAACTTAATTAATAGACCGGCAATACAAAGCGCTGTCGCTTTACTCCGTTTACAGAACATGTCAAGAAAGCTATGCGGTTGTCGACAGAAAAGGTTACAATCAAACTCGTGGGTTTTATCAACACAACCACCGCCCGTCGCGTGTGACCGCGCGCGCATTTGGAGATGATACGCGGCGGCGCCTGGCGGATTTCGCTGTCCCCAGCCGTGGTCACGTGGTATTTTCCGGTACACGCGCTCCCGTAGAGAGGGGAGAGCTGACCTGGTCGCCCTTTATAGAGTTGGTCGTGATCCATATCCGTAGCCCCCCCCCCTCCCCTCCTCCTCCTCACCCTCCCCCCTGAATCTGTCGGGACCCACCTTGTCAAAGCCTTTTTGTTCCAGCCTCTTGCCAAGAACCTCGCCGATGCCTGCGAGGTCCGTCACCGCCTTCTCACCCATGGGCTCGGAGACAAAGTTGCGGTGCTTCTGGGAGGTGGACGACATCTTGATCCGATGGCTGAAATAAAAAGGGGGGTGTTTTCAGCGCCGTATTTGTTTGCACAACAGATCCAGTGGTCTTGAAATTCTAGTGGAGCCAATTTTAAGGTCACTGGATTTACGGTGCCTGGAATGCTTCTCCGACCGGTGGGTTTGGCATCCAATGCCATTCATTGATTGAACGTGGTCCCAACAGCGGCAGCGAATGACGGCACAAACGCTGGAGCACGTCGGACGTTGCTATTGGTCGTATAAGTGAAAAAAAAAACAAAAAAAAACCACAAGCAAACACGAGAGCTGTTGTTGTCGGGGCGTCCCGCCCAACTCTTGTCTGCCTAAATTTCCGCATATTGTCGCGCTTCATGGCAAAACGGGAGGGGACTGCTTTTGGGGATGCGGTAAACACAGTAATGCGATTGATGGGAACCCTTAGATTTCATAGGGTGAGGAGGGCAGCTCAGGCGTTTCTGCATTCAGGTGTTTGGCCATCATAAAGTACCGAAATCTATTGAAGCAACACTTGTTTTCAAGATCTATCATGGGACAGTCAACTGCAAGGGCACCAATGTAAAATGTAGCCGCACAAATCTCTTCCAATACCGGCGATTATTTTTATGAATTTAGCATAGTTATTAGTCCAATCAAATAATAAGCTCTGAAAACCTCCCAAATCCTAATGCTCGCACCCCACTTAACGAGACTGACGCAAGATACAGAAGATGGCGTCACTGACCTATAGTTTCTTTTTCTCCGAACGTTTAAAGCCGCCAGCTCGCTTGCGTGCTAAACACCATGCGTTTAATAATCAAGTCTCGCAGCGACAGCGAAAGATAAACTCGAGAAAACACTCGCAATTTGACACACACAAAAAAAACAACAAAAAAACAATGGAACACGGAAATTTAACCATAGGCTTCGCTCGCGCCCGACCTGACGGAAGATGACTCACGAAACCTTCAAAAGTTTGAGCCGCCGGTCACAATAAAGTCAAATAAACGATGACTTTAAAGGTGCAGCCAGAATTTCTCCAAAACTTTGCAATGCTTCCTAAACAGCGCTAGACCACTAAGGGTACATACAGAAATTACTGTCGTGCCATACAGTACAGAGCGCGAATGACACGCGACACGTACGCTATATTTGTCTCTCAATTTCTGCCATCGCCAAACTTCATAAAAGCTAAAGTAACCAAACGAAATACGGCTGAACTGGCAGCTTAAAGCAAAAATAGTGATCTAAAAGCGTTATAACTATTTTGGCTTTGCGCAGAAATCAAAACGTCAAACTTTGTGCGTCCATCGAACCGAACGCCTGCAATAAACCCCCAAGACTCACTCCCACAACGTATTTACCAGCTGAAACTACGTTTGAGAAGCCAGAACCTTATATGCGCTTTTGCGACATGTAAAATTTGCGATTCAATACGAAAAAAGCCGTAAAGTGCACGTAAAAACAGCGTAGTCATACTCAATGTCTTGCCGGTTGAGGTGCAACGACGAGCCGTTGAAACGCCAAATATTCGAAATCGAAGCCACGTCTGCCCCCGATAACAGCTAAGCCAAGTATACCCACACTGTGCCCCGTGATTTCGGCCGCTTTAAAAACAGAGGAAATAGGCATGTGTGCTTCGAATAATGCCTACTTACCGTTGATGCGTACGTAAACGTGAGTGCCTTGAAGAAGTCGCAACGAAGTTTATTTTCTCGAGCCGTGACTTTTTGTAAACTATGGCGATGCACTCTCGAACCCAAAGCTGCGTGTTTGTATTTTCATTTTTCATGTCAAACCGTCATATGTTGGATTGAAGTAAAATAGTAATACAATATGTTCAATATACTTCAAATAATATATTGACTAGTATTTAAGGTATTGTTTATATGTTAAGTGAATTACTTTACTACAGGACTAGAGTCTAGAGTCCACAAAAAAACTCTCGTAACCAGTTCTCTTTGTCAAAGATGGCGACGTGCAGTGTCCGCGGCGTTCGGTCCGCTACCTTCGAACACGTACAAACGCTTGCGTTTTCATGATCTTCAAGCTAAAAGCGACGTATAACATTGTTTTATTACTCGAGCGTTCATTGAGGTCCATTGAAATATTCCGCCGCGGCTACAAATTGGCCCATTTTACGTTGTAAACAAACCATCACGTGGTAACGACAATTCACTGTCTCCGCGGTGCTGTCCGAGTTTTGGTAGCGAAGCACCTGCCAGTTCTTTAAATGAATTTTGGTACTTGAAAGCTACTAGTCGAACATGTCTAAAACCACTAAAATCAAGCACGTGACCAAGGAGGTGTTGGAAGACTACGTCCTTCCTACCGACAACCAGCTGATAGTTCGGGTAAGCTTTGTGGAGCTGTCTTTTCAACGGTTCAGGCACCCTCTGATTCTTTCAATCTGGACGAGCATCCTACCGCTGTGTGGTCGTGTATCGCGACCGTCTGATGCACGTTAAAGACCTCGGGCTAGCAGTCATACTACACTAGCTAAATTTCTTGTATGGGTGATGGGGTAACGCCGACAAGGTTTAACATGATGATGCAATCAATGCAGAGGTGCAAGCGAGCTGGACAAGAATAGCGATAATAATCCCCAGAGAAGGGGACAGTTCACAAACACACATCTCCAAATACAGCTAGGTGACTGGTGCGTGACTGAAAAGTCGCGCATCAGCCACCTAGCTGTGTTTGGAGAAAGGGTTTGTCCTTTGGCCCCCCTTGTTCACCTTCTCCAGAAATTATTATCGTTAAGGCTTAACGTGACTTTAGGTTTGACCAGAGGAAAATTGGAGAAGGCAGGTTTGATGTTTGTAGTTATTTTGCCCAATCTCCCCAAAAGTCATCTTGGCGATATCCCACACTGCCTGGTGATAGTTACAGAAAGGCTGAATAGATGGGAGATTAGACTAGAAAGGCAGGGGTAGGAGTTATACTTTTGGTTTATTTTGGTCACCAGGCTAGGTGGCACAAGCTACCATGCATTATAGAGGGTACAGTCACTAACATACATCCATCCCTACAGTAGTGACATCAGATGCCCATTGGGGCCGACACACGCACAGCACAATTTTCCTCGCTGAGGAGAGGCTACACTTCCTACAAACGCGTCTTGTTCAGGTACATAGTAAAAAACAGCGCAACTCGGCCGAGGACAAAGAAGAGAGACACACTAGACAAGTGCTGAGTAGCACCTGAAGTCTCATTAGTACAGAAGCACTAAATTGATGCTGATGCTTGCGCAGGCATAGGCACGGCGTGATCTTCAAAAGCTTCTGTCTTCAGATCTTGTTAGAAACAAAACATCAAATCGACGCTGATGCTTACACAGGCAATGGCATGATTCATCTTCAAACACTTCATTCTTGAACATTCTTGACTGGTATCACTTTAGTGGCACGAAATATGATCACAGAAATATTACGTCAAAGTAAAGCCGCATCCTCCACTAAAACCAATTTAAAGAAGCGACCAGCTGGTCTTTAGCGGGCGGCAAACATGTTAGCTTTAAGTCAGGGAGCACTGGCGCAACAACCCCATGACGTCACATCGCGGTGGAACTGCGGTTGATTGGTTGTACCGCGTACCGCAGCACCACGGTGACGTCACGTCGCAGCCGTACAGCTGGTCAGTGTTGCCATCCCTCTCTAGCAGATAGTTTCGGTTTTGCCGTAGACTCCCGAAACCAAGCTTCGAGCTGTGATATTTATAAAACTATGCACAATGTCAAAACAGAAATGATACCTTTTTTTCAGGGACACTGCTTTAGCAGAAAACAGTCGTAATCCTAAATTTAAAAAAATATTGACCGGAGTTGCCTTTTAACTGCTCCAGAAGGCTCTCATTAAATTGCACAATTTTGATGATTGCACCCTTGCGGATGACACGAAAAAGTCCAGGCAAGCGCGTGCGGCTCCAAGGACCTCCAGTGCTATCTAACAGAGGAAAACCGAGTTATCCTCGAGGCTATTGTGTGCACGAGCGGCATTTCAGCGGCTGTTACTTTTTACATTACTCCCCACTTGGTCGGCAAACGATTGCCGAGTCAACATCGATGGGAGTAGAGCTCAGTGAAATAAAGTAAAAACCGCTCGTCGTCGTTTATTCTGCGCACTTATTGTCGAACCCCCGAAAACTGATCGCTCCACCTGCCGATTGAGTGGATTCAGCCTTGCCTGACTCTGCCTTTGGTCGTGGAATGCCTCTCTTTTCTGCGAAATCGGCATAAACTTGGTTGTAGCTGGTCAAGCGGGAAGTGAGGACAAAAACCGAACGGCTGCCAAAGTCTCGATAATGTAGACCTTTCTGCTGGCAGATAGCGCAGCCAGCGGGCCTTGTAAGCTTCGCGCTTGCCGCTGCTTTTTCGCATTGTCCGTGACTGTAGCTGCGTCCCGTTTTCGGGTACATTGCTAATGCGGCCCGGGACGTCTGTGCATATCGTAAATATAAGCCCGACTGCACTTTTTCTTCTCGCTACTTATTGTGAACTGGTATCCAAACTTTCAGATCTTGTCTGGGAAGGGGAACAACCTCCACGAAGTCGAAGACCCTTCGGGGAGTACATACCTGGTCAGCATGCCGACCAAGTTCCGGAAGAACATCTGGGTCAAGAGAGGTATTTTAATGGGCTCATGAGTTCTTGAACTATGGTCACTCACTATAATTTGTGACGGGTTCAGGGGAAACTCCTCCCAGCTCATTAGCAGAGTGACTGCTGGTATTTACTGATAAAAAGTGAAAAGTAGCCCTTGTGCCGATTTCATCAAATTGGAGGATAGTTTCGAGGATAAAAAACTGACCTCCTCTTTCAGTGTCTCTTTTGCAAAACTTGAGGATGTAGTCGTGAGTCGCGTTGTTGTTGACATGAAGCACCCGTGACGACAATATTCAAATGCAGTTCATGGATTGGACACGATCGCCGTGGAAGCACTTGGCTTGGGGCTCATGACAATCAAAGCCTCCTGGACAAGCATTCGGATATTGGCTTGAGTCCAATGGCTGCAATGATGGGAATACACAAACTTGGCTCTGTTATGTCACGGCACGGTGGTGGCGCGTCGGGCACACTTCCGGTCTGGGGCTGTGGGCGGAAATTGCCATGGAGGATGTGCATTTCCTGTGTTCTTGTGAAAGGAACCAGACAAAAACCTGCCTTCTCGTTAAAACGCCACGACGAGGGCTGTACCAAAAGAGTCGGGGAAAGCCTTGAAGATCAGTTTTTATGGGTTTTCTGCCAGCTCGGTTTGTCCGAGAATATGGATAGGTGACGTGAAAAAGGAAAGCTGGATGCCGTCGGACCATGGTTGCTTGTGCAGGAAGCACTTTGGGTTGAATTCACGGATACTTGTGGTCGTCAGATTTATTTGTTTTGTTCTGACATGAGCGCGGGAAAACCGCACGGACCACCTGCAGACTACGTCCAGTGCGTCTTGAAGGTCAAACGGCCGCCTGATCATACAGACTGTCTGCTATTTCAAACGTTTCTGCTTGTTGTCGTCTGCTTGTTCAAACGACAGCGGCCCATAGACCAAACATTGACCCAGTGATTGCGATAAGAAGTAAGTGCAGGCCTCAAAAGACTTTTCAAGTTTGAAGGTTGCTTGGGGCAAGTAGGCTCGGTGTAAACAGTAGACAGAGGGAGATGTTGATCATTGTTACCAATGGCCATCACCAACTTGTTATGCTTGGTTCACTTGGTCCGATTTTGTTTGCGCTTTTCAGTGTCAATGTCGACAATCTCGGTTACGGTTCACGTTTTTGTACCCCGAGTGACGTCGCGACCGAAAAGAGCGAGCAGAATCTCATCATGCGAATCAGGCTTTAGCGTCCATTCTGCGGCGTTCACGCGGAATGAATATCCGCATGTCACACTATTCACGCAAAGTTTTGCGGTGTAACTATAGTCGGTTACAAGTCAAGAAGGTAGGAGAAGCTCCTCCCAGAAGTGTGATGCGACCGTTTCAAATCTCTCCGCAGTCGAAAGAAGAGTTCACTGGAAACGCTCCTTGTTCCGCTTCAATGGATTCCCACTTGTCTCCGATCCCACTTTTTAAGAAAGCGACCTTTGTATTCAACGGAGAGGGAACCGAGCCCCTGAAAGCAGCCTTTGTATCCATCGGGGGGGAAGCTAATCCCCGAAAGTCGTATTTGTTTCCGTCGGTGGGGGAGAACTCTAATCTCCCTCTCGTGGCTTCCACAATGCTAAGTCAAAGTCGAAAAGCAAATATGTACAGAAAGGCAAGACCCTCCTCGCGCGTTGTCCGCGACGTCACGGAAACGGTGGGACGCTATTGGATGCAAAGGTGGCGGAGGGATATCTGGTTCCCTTTGAGGGGCATTTGCCGCTACCTTCTTAACCTGTAACTGACTATAGCCTCGTTAATTTCGCTGAGGCCGCTAAAGTAGTCGGGCAGATTCCAATGCGAAAAAGAGCACGGGGACTCATACCGACGTCGACAACATTGCATTCCAATGGTTTCTTCATTGGTGACAGCGAGCTTCGTGCCCACACTCCATCGCGCGAGCGCGGTGCTGGTGGCGTCCACTAGGGGCGTTCCGATTGGTTTGTAAACATGAGTTGGTCTATATCCCAACAATGTCAGGAAGACAGTGCGCACCCTCTGCCAACCCCAGCGCATGGCTGTGATGAACATTGGCAGCATATCATCCCCCTGGCTGCAAACTACGCTGTTTTTTGTTTTTTTTTGCGGCGACTGCAGTTGCGTATAGAAAAAACTAACGAGTGTTTGATAGGTTAGGAACGTGAAGGAGTAATTCTAGGCGGTATTTGCTGAAAGCACAAAAATCGTTGCTTTGCCTCTTTAACTGGTTTCCTTCTCTTACCGGTACAAGGACATTACAAAGTATTCGGGTTACACGTTTGTTCCCTGGGGGTTCGGGTAAGCCCGCACCCCCTTTTCTTAAGCGCGAGCCTCAATAAACTCGGGACGTTTTGTCCGACGCCGAAAATAACCATAGAAAGCACCAAAACTGCGGAAAAAACGTCCCCGAATTCGAAGAGGCATAAACCCAAAAAGCACAGAACCCCATACTTCGTTTCACCCCAAGTCGGAGCGCAGCTAACATTACGAGTCACCGGAGCCACTCGAGCAGTGCCACAAGCACGTCACGGCGTTCGTCGTCTTTGCGTACATTTGCTATCACAGGCTGAGCCAATCAAGCACAGTGCGTGCATCATCCCCTTGCACTTTTAGTCTGTGCGTCTACGCTCATACGTTTTCTAGTCGTTGGCTGCGCTCAAACTTATGCTGAATAGGAGTGCAACGGTAAGTGCTCGACAAGGCCGGTTCGCACGTTTGTGTCGGTTGCGTTTAAAGCGAACGAAACGACAACGACGACCGAGTAATCGGGACGACTGTTCTCCATGCGGGAGGCAACAACCTACCCAAGAAGTAGCTTCCAGGAGTGAGCACGAACTGCAGTTGTCCTGATCGTTTCTGTCGTTTTGCTTGCTGCAGACGCAACCTGCGCAAATATCGGAACCGGCTCGAGCGTGTAGGTACGAATGATCGTGTGGTGTCCCAAAACCTCGGGAGGTTTTGTTTCCTCGGCTTTCCCCCAGGCGACTTTGTCATCGTGGAACCCATCCAAGAGGGCGACAAGGTCAAGGCCGAGATTGTTCGCATCCTCTACAGGGAGCAGGTCAAGTACATCAAGGAGGAGGGCAAATGGTGAGCTCCGTCGCTCCGACCGTCTGCTGACGGACCCACAGGCCGGTTCCCAGACTTGTGCACGGGTGTGATCGACTGCATTGCAATCACTTCCGATCGCTCGGGACGAGAGGGCGCAGTACGAGAATGTTTCTCGTAGATGTCACGTGGATTTGATGTTCCAAATGCTGCTAAACCGTCTAGTTACGCGCAAATCGGAAGTGTTTCAACGCTGCCGGATAGATGGCGCTAGTGCGTTCTCTCTTCCAGAGCCCTTTGTACGGAGAGAGTTTGGCCGATGGGCGGAGCCCGTCGCTTGCTAGAACGAGCGGACTTGGCGACGCCTCAATATGGAGGCTTCTGCTTTTGGCCATTCCACTCTGCATGCACTAGTCCAAATTTGCAGTTAAAAGTTGTTTTACGAGTTTTTTGTACGCCGACATTTTGTTACGCCTGCAATCGGTCACTGTGTCCAAGCACCGGTCATCCCTTTATCAATCTCCAAAAACAGAAATTCCAAATAGACTTTTTTTTTTTTCCCCTTTTGGTTTTAAGCAAAATGATACTTTCTCAAACAGAAAGAAGTCTGGCGATCGAGCGCACGACTTCGCGGCGGTGTTCATTCTTGAGACATAATATATTTTCGAAGTGTCGAAAATTTGCTTTTAACAAAAAATGAAGAAATGAAAGATCATATATTTTTTAAAAATTTTAGCAGATAAGTCAGCTTGAGCTGTTGATTGCATGTAGGGTGCCAAAGACACTCGCATTAGCGACAGGTCACCGCATGCCTAGTTTGGAGCGGGTCTGAAATTCTATGCCACAATACGGCCAAGGAAGAATGCCGTATACTGGTTGCGTGACTTCCAGCTGTGGTTGCTAGACCGTTGGCATGTCCTGAAGAATGCCAAGCTCTCCCATAAAGGGCTCTGCTCTCGTCATAAGCGGTTTCAGGAGGTCCTAATGGAGTCGATCACACTGAAACGTGAATGTTTAAACCAGCCTTTAGCGTCGGTTGATGGATAGTTGATCGTGATAATTGCCATGACATTCGGGTGGTAAGGTCGTTGAAATGCGCAGTTACGTTTACTTTGCAACCGTAGAAACCTAGAGTGGTCGTAGAATATTAGTTGGCCTAATAATGTTGCAAAATATGGCCAAAACATTGCGGTGTTTCACCTTGCGAGGGCCCGCAAACGACGCCGAGAGTAAAACAAGCCAATTAAGTGCTATGCAAGCATCACGCAACCTTCGAGAGGGGAAAGCCGACATGCGGGACATGTAGTAACGTGATATAATGATGTCTTGTTTATATGGACACCTCCGTTCTCCCGAAAAAAGCTCATAATGCGAGTTGTCCAGTTCATGCATTTACCCAGTTGGTCCCCGTTTGTATAGCGGGGTATCAATATTGATCGGGTTCGTATTAATGAGACATACGACAGTATGTTTGCAGCGCTGTATTGGCTGGGATGGCTTGTAGCATTCGCTGCAAACCTTCATGAACCATGGGCGGATTTAGGGGGTGGGGGGAAACCCCTCCAAAGCCCCCCCCCCCCCCCCAAGGTCAACTTTGTTTTTTTTTTAAATGAGGAAATCGATATACACCAGCCAAAAGTTTAGTTTTGGGTGACATAACAAATATTGGGTCAACAAAATAGATCAGGGCCTCTAAACTCGTAAAGCACAAAGTTGGGGCCAAAGTTGACGGAGCACACTGATTGGCCTATCACGACAATGACGTCGTGCTTTTTTTCGCCAACGTCCAATCGGCGCGCTCCGCGAACTTTCGGCTCCAACTTGGTGTTTAACGAGCTTAGGGCCTCCGGGCAACGTTTTGGACGTAATGTCATCTCTCGGCAGACCCCCCCCCCCCCCCTTTACCCCCCAAGCCTGACCCATAAGGCCGCCCCTTTCGTAAGCCGTCACCAGACTTGTACACGTTACTGAAAAAAAGTAACCGATTACAATTAAAACACTTCGCTGTAAAAAGTAACTGATTACAATTAAAATTACAGCCTCAGAAAAGTAATAAAAAAATTATACTCTACAGTAATCGATTACTTCCCACATTACTTTTCATTCAACTTTTTTTGTTACGGTAGCATAATCCTTAAAAACTCCCGCTCAGTTGTTAAAAAAAAAAGTCTTGATTGTTTTTGTTTAAAGCTGAGCGAGTGACGCCGACGCACCAAATCCCTTTCGTGAAAAAATAAATAAATAAAAAGAGTGCTGTTTAAACACATTACTCACAAGAGGCTGGATAAGGTCATTTTTATACCCTAACGTAATCTCAGGTGTACAAAAAAAAAAAAAAAAATATACCCAGGAAATGAAGCATAGTGAAGTGGCCTACTAATCCCCAAGGTCCCGTGCTTAGTGGTTTTGAAAAAGAAAAAAAATATTGACCCTTGCCCAGAGCCGACGCCAGCACTTCCTCCCCCACAAAAAAATAAAAAATTGTAATGGGTAATTTTGTACTTGTCTTACTATTGGGTAATTTTGTACTTGTCTTACTATTCATACTTGTATTCTTACTATTCATACTTGTACTAATGGGTAATTTTGTACTTGTCTTACTATTCATACTTGTATCTACAAGTATGAATAACCAACCTGCTCAGCTTCAGGCAATCACAGGGTAATTTTATAATTGATTACAACAAAAAGTAATTCAATTACAATGATCATTACTCATTAAAGGAAGTAATTGAAGTGTTACAAAATTACAGTAAAATGTGATCAATTACAAGTAATTCATTAATTGTAACGCGTTATGTACAAGTCTGGCCGTCAGGAAGTGTAGTTTGTGAAACCGGGAATTATGAAACTACGAAGAGGGGTTTCAGCCAGTAGCGTAGCCAGTCATTTGTTTTTTGTTGTTTTTTTGGGGGGGAGGGGGAAAGGGGACTGAAGCCCCATAAGCCTCCCCCCTGGATATGCCACTGGTTCCAGCGCTGATAGTTTCTTTGTCAAACATTTTCTAGCTTACAGGAGCTCTTTACCTTTGATGGTACGCCGTCATTGCCATCGCTAATGGCAGCATAGTTTGTGTCGAGGCGTGCCTCTTAGAGAGAAAAGTTGCTTAAGGTCGGTATTCTTCCGGTTCCAGGCCAAAGGCTTTTGACGACGGCGAGGCGAAGGGAGACGCTGAACACCGCAGTCCCGAGGACAGCGACAGCGATGACGATGACAACGACCTATTTGTGAACACCAACAGGCCGAGCGTGGTCTACGAAGAGAGTGAATCGTCGTCCACGGAGGAAGAAGCGAATTGAGTTTGGTCTTGTCCGGTCGGTGGGTGGCGGGGCCTGGGAACGCCGCGGAGTCTGTAAATAGACTGGACCAGCAAGCAACGGCCACTTTGTGTACAACTCAACACACAAAAAAATAAAGTGTAAATCCGTAGGCAGACGGAAACCTTGGGATGGGACTGGGCTGTCCTTCAGGCTCATTCGCAGATTTGTGCTTGAATGCGATTGACCGCGTTGCAACCGCCTGCAAGAGGACATGCTGCCGCCACCTATCGGCTAGTCCCAGAACGACTGCCACCTGCATTTATATGCAGGTGACAATTGAAGAACACCTCTGATTGGATACGTTTTGTTTCTTGTGCATTAATAAGACAGACAGGAAATGCCAGAAAGTCAAGCTGGAGTGGTGTAGTGGCCAGCATACCTGAACGGACATTGGGAGGCCCAGACTTCAAATCCTGGCTCTGCTGTTTATTTTGGCTTTCGGTGGGTTCGTAAAACTTTAATTCTTTGATTCACTGGATTAAGTATGGTTCATTCATCTGCATATGTTCGTTTATATATAGTATATATATATACAGGGTGTCACAAAAGAAAATTTACACACTCTTTTTTACCACGAAAATAAACTAGGCATCGCCGAACACTCATTCTCCGCCCAAAGGTGGAGCTAGAGGTCACAACCAGATGCCAAAGTTTCAGCCCGATCCGATAACTTAATCAAAAGTTGTAAGTGATTTTCTGAAAATTTCAATGGGAAAATGGAGCCCATTTTTGCCCGTTCTCGGTTTCTGGTGCCATAGAGCCCCATGTATTCGAAAACTCCGTCGGCCGCCATTTTCCCATTGAAATTTTCAGAAAATCACTTATAACTTTTGATTAAGTTATCGGATCGGGCTGAAACTTTGGCATCTGGTTGTGACCTCCAGCTCTACCTTTGGGCGGAAAATGAGCGTTCGGCGATGCCTAGTTTAGTTTTGCGGTAAAAAAGACTGTGTAAATATTTTTTTGTGACACCCTGTATATATGTATATATATATATGGTAATATTTTTTATTTAAAACATTTTTTAAAAAGGTGCCTTTACTACTACGTGAATGTCGTCTTCACTACATGTTACTTGAGCTCGGTGAACAACCATCACAATCTGTTGAGTAATTAACTAAAATTCGTTAATTAACTTTTTAATTAATGTTTTTTGGGGCAGTGTTGCAATTTTAATTTTGAAGACAGCTGCCCCGTAAGGCTAGACCAATTTATACAATTGAAAAAAAGCAACTGGTTTGGAGATATCCGTCGACGATTCCTCCCCTTTCTATCCTCCGATTCCGAAACAGAAATTTCCAAGCGCGCTGGAAGCGCTGACCATGTGACGCTTGTAGAATCAACGGTTTCGTGACATACAAATCGTCATGATCTCATATCTGCACTGCAGCTGTCTGGGTGCAGCACGTATGCAAACTCGCTGGGACAGTCTTTAGTGCTCTCACTTTTAATGCGTCATTGCTCTCTGAGCTTCACTCGTGATTGTTTGTCGGCGGGGGAGATGCACGATCAGGAAGATTTTTACGTCATGAAACCGTCACTTCTACAAGTGTCGGTGTTCAGCCCTTCCGGCGCACTTACTACTTTCAGTTTCGGAAACGGAGGATAGAAAGGGGAGAAACTGTCGACCTTATGTTGTACCACAGAGAAGGCTAGAAGCGCGAGCTGATGGCACTGGGAGCTGCTCTTAATGCACGAGAGCTTGTGCCACCGACATGTGCCCTAGAGCAAGCGGCTCGCGCTTGTAGCCTTTCCTGCGGTACATCATAGGGTGAAACAGAGTATAGTTGCTTTTCTTTTTAATTACGGAACTTGGTCTAGCCTTCCAGGGCGGCTGTCTTCAAAATTACAATTGTGACATGGTCCATAAAAGTAATAATTAACAAGTTAATTTACGAATTTTAGTTAATTACGTATGAGACTGTGACGATTCTTTGCCCTTCAAATATCCGCCGAGCTCAAGAAACATATAGTGAAGACGGCATTCACGTAGCAGTGAAGACGTCTTTTTTTTTAAAACGCCCGTTTCAAACAAAAATATCATATATATATGTATATATATATACTCATCAATTTTTTGCACATTGTTTTTTTTTCATGGGTTTGATATAATTCTGACAATGTTACAAGCGTCTATTTCACGTAGATAGTGCATAGATTTGATATCCCAAATTCTGCAAAACCTCTAGACCAGTTGTATGCATACTGGGAGTGTTTCCAGGAGTACTTCATAGATGCTGCCAGTGTATTCTCTAATAGTGAGCCACCCGGGAGCATGCTCATAAACCAGTGTGCAGACGACAAACGGGCTCGTATAAAACATGGGAAATTCACGCCCTTCATTTTTTTTATATATATATATATATATATATATATATATATATATTTTGTTATTTCAGAATTCAGCTCTAAAAAAATACGCATAAAACGTCTGATGAAACTATGTTCGCACGCCGAATTTCAGGTAGGTATGTTTGGAATTCAAATTTTGCAAGTGTGTCCTTACGGCCGCACACTGTACTTGACCAGTTCGTCACCAATGAGCGTGTTCTGGGCCCAAGCTAGCCAAAATAAAATTCATGGTCCCTTTGATGCCATGTGCATGTCCAATGTGGAAGTGGCACTATGCATGTCGTATGGAACAGCGAGACAATACGGTGCTGTATCAGCTTGCTTTATTGCGTAATAAATGCCCAACTTGTTGGAAAGGAACAAAAAAAGTATGCAAGGTCCCTTTGGCAAGACAACACATGGTGCTGCAAAATATGCCGCCCAAAGTGACATACGCAACGAACAGGGTGATAAAAAATGCTAGGATTGCAAGTCTGTGCACCATTGTAGTGAAGTGCACAAGCTCCTGTTGGACAACTACACAGAAGCTTCAGTTTAGACAGTCATATGACCAGTGTTCATACCTCATTTTGTACATTGAAAGTACAAGATCTATAGATATATTTGTGACTAAAAAACTATCGAGAGTGCAACTCGGTCAAAGTCCACATGGGAAAATCATTTAGAAATACCTGTGTTGTTCTTTGGTGACCACTATGCTCCGCTCGCCCAAGCTGACAGTGCAGCAAGAGCTATGCGTCGCCTGACCAATCGCCTGTCTCCCTTTCACCACCTGACCACACACACTGCCTGTTGCTATGGGGAAGAGCACGATCATGTGGCGAAAGATTGTTGTACGACCGGTTCAACGAACATGCAGCTTCCACCGCACTGTCAGTGGGGGGGTGAACGGAGTATGGGTGTACGCACAAACATGGTGTGGACAGGAGGACAGGAATGGAGAGCCGCTGCTACATCTATTCAAAAAGACTTCCAAGTATCTGCTGTTGCTAACCAAGCTTAGAAGTGCCACTTTTGAAGCATCTCGTGCACTAGTTGCAGCACCTGTTTACGATGCGCTAATTTCGAGGTGGCTATGTAGACCAAATGCGTCCCATCTATGCTTCTGTAAGGGTGTCATAAATGGCTACATTCAATTGCTTTTTCGAGCACATTTTAGCAGACAATACAAGAGACAAGCTGGCTGTATAGTATATCGTAAGCTTGCAAGCACACACCAAAAACACAAAACTGCAAGACGTGAGAAGTTGAACTTGCATGCAAGATGTGCATATTTGTATAAATGACTGTATGTGTATATATATCGGAACGTATATTTATATATATAAAAAAAAATCTTGCATGAAATTGCACCTCTTTGGATCCCATCAGCTGCATAAAGGACAGTGAAAGGGGTGACCGCTGGGGAAATACACGAGATCGTGCGATCGTACCACGGTTATGTGCTCTCTATATTATGCATATATATGTTTGGTTTCGACAGTGCTACATGCAAAATGGATTATGCATTTTTTCCTTTTTTTTTTTCTTTCTTTGCATATTATGGAATACTCTGAAGACTCTGTGGTATGGCATCATCACAAAAGAGGCATTTCATGACTGAGCTGTCTCAAAAAGTTCCAAGACGGGAGCAAGTAAAGCTCTGCAATATCTCCGCAGCTTTTCCGAACACAGTGTGAAAAACATTTTTAGTGCAGAGTGTAGACATCTGATCCGACCCAACAGGCCTTTCCAAAATGCTGACAGTGCCCCCCCCCCCCCCCCCCCCCCGCCACCTGGTGGATTTAGTTTGTCTCCAGTAAAAGCACTGGTAGTTTCCACACCAGGAACATCTACAGACTGTGGCTGCTGGTACTTAGGTGTGACTTCCACCACAAATGGCTCTTTAATGCCGACGGAAGCACACTTGTCAGCACTCCGTTTTAGAAAACTAATCCATGCATTTTGCTCCATATTCACTCCTGTTTTGGAAAATCTTGATCGCTCCTCGTACATGTGTCCTCAAAAAACTCTGTGCACTTGAATAACTGTGCTGTATATGGGGGTATAACAAAACAAAAACAGAAGGCTACTACAGACTATGCAATGTACAGGGCGTCACCAAAAATAATTTACACGGTTTTTTTAACCGCAAAAATAAACTAGGCATCGCCGAGCGCTTATTCTCCGCCCGAAGGTAGCGGTGGAGGTCAAAATCAGATGCCAAAGTCTCAGCACACAATCACTTATTCCAATGTTATAAGTGATTTTCTGAAAAGTTTCATGGGAAAATGGCAGACGACGAAGTTTTTGAATACATGGGGCTCTTATGGCACCAAAAACCGAAAACGGGCCAAAAATGGGCTCCATTTTCCCATTTAAATTTCCAGAAAATCACGTAGTATAACTTTTGAACAAGGTATCGGATCGGGCTGAAACTTTGGCATCTAGTTGTGACCTCTAGCGCTACCCTTGGGCGGAGAATGAGCGTTCGGCGATGCCTAGTTTATTTTTGCGGTAAAAAAAACCCTGTAATTTTTTTTTTGTGACACCCTGGTATTCTAGGCATGAAAAAGGGACTGTGTTGCATCCAGTGTCTTCACGCAACTCTAGCGAGCATTTCCAAAAGAAAGGTGGCAGGCGGTAATGCTACATTCAAACTGTGGAGATTGGTCAAGTGTGGCAATAACAAGCGAAATAACAATTTAAAAATAAACAATCAAACTAAACAAGCATAAACACCGAGGAAAAAAAGTCAGTTAAACCAACCTCATTACAGATCAATCATCCTCATCCCTCTGGACTCGGTAAAACACAATATGTAAATTGTTGTTCTCGACTCGTTTGGTCCAAGGGTTTCCAAAATTGAAGCACAGACATATCTTTGGTCACGGGATGTAACTTCCATGCATTGCAGCATCTGTAAAGATCTGTGGATACTGCCAGTCTCAAGTTTTCGGAAGCATCCTTATTTGTGCACCAGCTCGACAAAAAAACTAGTTCAATGAAATTTGTGACACTGCCTTTAGCAAGTGACCAAAGAATCTGTAAAATGTTACTGGGTACTTAACAAACTATATAGTATTTTTGTGACTCATCCCCTTAGCTACAGTGGTTCTTCAACAAAAACTAAAGGAACTGTCGTTCTGAATGCAGCTGGGCAGGGTTTGGTGATGTCCATAAGGACAATGATGACATTCTTGTCATCAAGGACACGAGATGTCCAGTCTTCTCATCAGTGTAGTAAATATGGCTTTAGTCGGTTGCTTTCGAGGCTCATTCATGAGCCTGCTCGACATTCCAGTTCAGGGGCCATAACAGCTCAATGAAGTCGCAATAGCTAATAACATAACAATGCAAAAAAAAAGAAAGAAGTCTGTTCATCGTTTCATTTTTCTCTAATGCCTTTCGGCAACAGGTAATCTGACCGAGGGACCGACATGCAATCTGAATTCGCTGCAAAACTGACCGGCAGCTGCAACTTCAACATTGCATTATATCTATCAGTAAAATCGTGTGTTTGGTTGACTAGCATACTGGTGTCGCTGAATGGAAGACTGCTGTTGCGGCTGGGACGACACAAACGACCCATTGACCTGCCTCGACACAGACACGACAGGCTGACCAGTCGTCAGCGACCCGCCCACTACAGGCGCCCTCTGCAACACGCCCGCCTGCACGTAGAACTTGTCGTCTGCATACACAGCCGCTTGCGGCGCCGTGCCGCCAGACACCTTACCACCGCCGTGATCCAACGGCTGCTGAGTCATGGGCCGCTGGAACGCCTGCGGCAGGTGCGACGCTGCGTAGCCTTGCGACGACGGAGGTGCCACCACGTGCTGCTTCAGCGTACTTTCGGTAGGATGCGGCTGCGGCGGCGCAGCGGTCGTAAACGACGTCGCGTACCCGGCGCCGTAGATGGTTGCCGCCGCGGCGGCAGCGGCAGCAGCGTCGTTAGCGGGTACGATGTGATGTGCGGTGTAGTACACCGGGGTCTGACCAGAGCTCACGGTCGGATACGGTACCAGCTTGGGTCCGAAGGCCGTGACCTGGGCCTTGTAGGCGAACTGGGGCTGGTAGGTCGTCTGCGAGTGTGGGATCGACTGCGGCGGCGACGGGGATCGGGTGCGCTTCAGGCAGTTGGGATGTTGCTGATTCATGGTTGTTCCCTGCGGCGGCTGGGGGCTCATTTTGTACAGAACCGGCGTGCGGCTGAGGTTCTGGATATAGAGTGGTTGTGGCGGGTTAACTCCGACCGCGTTCAGTGCTTGGTGATGTGAGGCGTAAGCTTGATTAGCGGCGGCTTGCGCGGCCGCGGCCATTTCGTTGGCTTCCTTGATGAGCGCTCTGCGGCGGGTGTCGTCTTCATGGAGCACTTTCTTGAGTTGCATGAAGAGCTGGTGTTTTTCGTCTTTGAGTTCCTTGAGCTTCTTTTCCGACTGGCTCACTTGGTCCTTGATTTCCTCCAGGGTCATGGCGTCCTGCTTGCGCTTGAGTTCCTGCTCGCGACGCAACCTCTCGATGGCTTCGTCGGCTTCTTGTTCTTGTTTCTTGCGCTCCCGTTCTCGCATGATGTGCGCCTTAAGGGCGGCCCACATCTGCAGGCTCATCTTGGGACGCTCGATCAGCGCCGGCATTTTCGTTCTTTGAAGCGTTCGCAACTTTACGGGAGGAAATATCAAGCGGTACGAGCGCTGACGGCCCAACCCCCCAACGCCATTCGGTAAACAAATTTTTTTGATGAGATGCGCGGCGTACCTCTAGTGGTGGAAATTGTGCAGCGCAGTGCTGTGGCAATAATAATATTATTAAATAATTTTTCGAATTTGATTCGTTTGTTAACTTAAATTTACATTGTATAACAACGTTTTGCAATTTATCTTTTGAAATGCTGGTTGTTCGCACTGTTGTAACCCTTTGTAACCTAGCCTGCCTCATACGGCACTAAAAACGTGATGTCATCTACGGGTTTTCTGCCAAAAAGAGTTACAAATTGATGCGCTAAACCCGCTAAACAAACGCGTTATATTCAATTGACCATTTATTTACCTTGACCATTTACAATCATTGTCCACAGTTTCGTATTCTTTGTTTATATGCACACGTGCCACACGTGTGCTTTCACGAAATAGAGGCTCTGAGCTGTGCTTTACAGAAGGAATTTCTCGCCTCAAGATGGAACAAGATGAGTTCAGCTTCCTCATCGACGATCTTACGGAAGACGCCAGCCTCCGGAAGCTGCAAACTAAACTGAATAGCCTCTGGGACTTCCACTCAACTGGCGACGGCGACGATAATACTACAAAATATTTGAATCAACAAGGCGATCACGCTGTCAAAGTGACTCGCCTCCTTCTTCAAGAAGCGTGTGTAAATGACAGCTTCCGTGTCCGATGCGACGCAGACAGCTTAGGCAAGTTAGCGGGAAACGTAGCGTCCTACATCGCCGACACTTTGACCACCGATTTTCACCAACGCGCACCGTCCCTCGAACTCGCCAAACTCGTACCCCTCTTGTCCAAACTCGCTACCCAACTCGCAAACTCCGGACTCGAAACATCAATTTGTGAACTATTCCACGGCGCGACGCGGTCTTTCTTACGACACGTCCTAAACGAAAACTTTGAACCGGCGCCCCAACTCCTCAACCTCTGCTTCACCTGCACGCACGTTTTGATCCGAACCGCCGGTCAACTTCAGTCTTTATCGGAGGTAGACCAACTGTGTCTTCAAGCGCTGAAGGGCGGCAAAACCGAAACCACGGCTCGTGTGCTAACGAGGTACCTACCCGACTTGGCTGCCTACAGACCTGCCGAGTTCCTGGCGTTCCTAAAAAGCGTCGTCGACATTCTTCGATCTTTCTTCGAGCTCGACCGAAACGGGTACCTCGAGGAGAAGCAGTCCGGCGGTTACTCGATCCTCACGAGTATCGTCGAGTACCTCAAAGTCGGGGTTGGGGACGACGGAAGCTTTGTCCGTGAAGACTTCTTCTGGCTGATGATTCAGCGTGGACTGGTGCATCCCGACTCCCTGACGAGGAAGCAGTGCATGTTCATCGTGAGGCATGTCTTGGATGCCTGCTGCGACCTGGGCTGCGACGTGCGGACTCCCGCTTTTGCCTGGGACCCGAACCGGAAGGGGGAGCTTCTGGAGACCTGGCAAACGTTGTTGGCCGTCTTGGAGGTGCTCGAGGAGAAACAGGTCTGTAGGATATGGTGCAGGTCATATGTTACGGACCATTACTTCTTTTGTGAGCACCGAAAACAGAACATGATGATGATGATGATGGCCTGATCCCATCCTCGTCGCCAGCTTGTGTCGTCCCATAGCAGCTAGAGTTTGGAACATCTGCTATTCGGGCCTTCTGGGCCGTATTGTTTCGTCCAATTCGTGGGCATCTTTTCATGGGCACACATTTTGTCAGCACCGTAACGTTTTGTAGATACAGTGATGTAAATGGACACCTCCGTTCCCCCAAAAAATCGTCCATAAAGTAACTTGTCCATAATAACGAGTCAAAAATTTATGTATTTCTCCACTTTGTCTCTGAAAATGGTTTCCATTTAGCGGGGTAAAGGAGACATGACTGCAGAACCCAGGGATCCTGGGTTCAATCCCCACCCCTGTCCGTTTCGATCTGGATGAGCATCGTACTGGCGTGCGGTCGTGTATCACTACTGCGTGGTGCACATTAAAGACCCCAGGATAGCGGTTGTACTACACTGGCTAAATTGCTTACCTACAGCGAGTGACTCGTTGCAACTTTAAAATGGCTGACCAACTACACGCTATATAAATATCTACGCAACCGCAATTATTATTAGACTTGACTGTACTTTTTTCGTGATACACATGCTCTTGCAACATTTTGTCGACGTCATGTTTTCATTTGTAGTACATGGAATGGGATGGAATGCTGCTTCGTTTCCTTCACTGGAAGTATACCGGAACCGTAGCAAACCACCCGGGTTTCTCCAGCACTGCAAAAAAAGCCGTATTCCTTAACTTCTAAACAGGCTGCAAAACCTTGTAAACTAAAGATTTTAGAAAACATCTGCCTGCAGTGGCGTACTAACTTGTCTTTGAGTAGGGAAGCGAACCAGACCCCCCCACCCTCCCCCAGTGCTGGGGGGCCCTACCCATGTGGCGACCGTTTCCGGGGAAGGGGGGGGGGGGGGGGGTGGCAAAACACATGCCTTGCCCCCCCACTTTGAGAACTGGGGGGCAAGCGCCCCCCTTGCCCCCCCCGGCTGGTACGCCCATGCGCTCCTGTTATTTTGTACTAATCTCCAATACAAGTTCCTACAAAAAGAAATTTTTCCGTTTATTTTTATGCAAAAACATGCTTTTCGAAAGCTCAAGGTGACCAGAGTAAAGAAAAAAAAATATTGAGCCACCATCCTGGCACCTCGAGCCTGGGAGTTTCGGTACTCTGGGAACATTCAGTGACTCTAGCAGTAGCCATATAAGGCAGCTTTCATGTTTCAACTCGTTGCTAAAGGGTGGCGCTGTTATCGTATTTAGCTCGGTCTTGGTGGACGCCAGCGGCCCAGGTTTCAACGGTGAGTTTCCCAACTGAGAGTTTTAGTGATGTTGGCTGTTGTCAAGCGATGGCTGCCGGTGGTGTCGCTCGACCCCAGCAAAAGCAAGACAAGCTTCGATCCGTTATCCAGCCTACTACAGTTAGATCAGTGGCAGCCATACAGCTGATAGTGTTGCCATCCCTCTCTAGCAGATTTGGTTTTGTTGTACACGCCCGAAACCAAACTTTGAGCCGTGATATTTACAAAACTGCAAACAATATCGAGAAAAGAAAAATTATACCTTGTAATTCAGGGACACTGACTGAGCTGAAAACAGCCGTGATCCCAAAATTGAAAAATATTGACTGGGGTTGCCATTGAAAGGTTTTGAGGGCGACTGAATGGAGCGTGAAAAAACACCTTCCGATTGTTTTGCTACGAGTTTAATTTTTTTGGGGTGCACATTGAAAGTTTGCTTACTCCCTGTTTCACCTGATTTACTCTTGATGGGCTCTCTTTCAAAATATTGTTAGTTTTTTTTTTTTTTTTAGGTAATCGTGTTGTGTGTTGGTTTAGATGGCGGAAGTTAGTCAGCCCTAGTGGGTGACTAGCGTCTTCACTGTAGATGAGAAACTTAGCCAGTGCAGTGCCATTGCTAACCTGGGGGTCTTTAACATGCATATACTCCAAGCTAAGCATCTTACTGATGCCCAGAAAATTCCATGTCGTTTGCTGTTACAGGCGCACGTCGTGAGGCCGGTGCTGTCCAAGTTTGCCTCGTTTCTGGAGCGTGCAAGTGGTTCTCCGGTCGTGCACGTTGCCTGGGTGCTCCTGCCCTTCCACCGAATGTTGGTGCACGAGAGCCGAACGGTCGTCAAGTGGGCCCTCGCCAAGTTCACGGCCTCCAAGGCGTTGGTGGAGGCCACGTTCGAAGGCGGCATGGAAAAGGTGTCGTAGTCTGGCTTACCCTCTACCTAAAAGGACAAAAGATGTGTCGATTGGGCTTCGAGGCACTCAGAAAGACGAGCGTGCGGTGGGGTGTCAGTTCAACTTGTTTTAAATCTGCCCACCTTTTTATGTAGAATATGTTCATGGCCTGGACTTGGACGTTCGAAAGGTAATTTCACAGGGGTAAACTACGCATGCTGCGGCGTATTATGCCGCAAAATGGCGGCATAATACGCCGCCAAATAAAGTTTATAATTCAATGAAATATGATATTCCCAACTCATGCCTCCACAGCAGGAGCTTTTAAGAACTGTAATCTATATGTCAGCCCATAACCTGTGCAACATGCCAAAAATTATATTTTTTTATGTTTACAATTACAGTTACAATGGCTTCGAGATAATAAACTCCTTGCCAAGACCTGCACGAAAACCATTGGGATGCTGTGCAAACACGAAGATTAAATATTTCACTGCAGGAACCAAAACCTAAAATGCTTGAAAAGAACTTTAAAGCATCCCTTCGCAAATTGAGCAAGGGGGATATGTTTGTAGAAAAGTAAGGCATAATAATATGGCAAAGTTTTCGTTTATGGGGAGAGCAAGTCACCTGCTTCTTGCCCAGGAGTTGTGGTGACGTCAGAAGGAATTCACCACAACTCCTGGTGACATCACCATAACTTTGATCGAGAGGTTAGTGGGTAGACTTCAATGCTAAGTGCCTTGAGGTCTACCCACTATTATTTTTCCAATCAGCCAATAAGAGCTTGGTGTTCTGACATCATCGCAACTCCTGTGCAAGAAACAGACAAACTTACCCTTCGTATCACTGTTTGCTGTTGGGAAATGGAAACACTGACACTGTATGTTGGGATTCTTCCACTTTCTTTGACGAGGTGCTTGTTACCTAACTAGTTTATTTTATACATTTTGTGTCCCACTTTTGTCTCTTCCACAGTTTGTACTGGGCCCTTTTGTGGAGGCCTTGAACGACTCGGGAATCTTTGCAAGGTAGGAGACTGAGAGGCTATGTTCGACAAATGTTTCGTTTCTTCTAAAAAGGAACGGAAGTGACGGAAGGGACGATATCGCGTCTGATTGACTAGAGGCTCAAATGACGAAAGAATGAACTTTCGTGATTTGAGCCTCTAACCAATCAGACGCGATATCGTCACTTCCATTTCTTTTTAGGAGAAACGAAATATTTGTCGAACATAGCCCCCCTGATTTCCACATTTCGGCTCTCACACACAAGGACGTTGTGTGGGTCTTTAAATTTATGCACTGATGCACCGTTTTGTTTTGTAACTTCCTTGCATAGTCAGAGTGCTACATTGTTAAGATGGCACTTGCTTCAGACAACATATGGTAACTGTTATTTGTTTTTTGTTTTACTTTCGGTTTCGAAGAGACGACAACGATGCCTTGGGATCGCTCGTTCAAATTTCCAAGAGCCTTGAGCAGTTCTTCAAGCTTTGCTTCGACATACTGTCACCTACAGACCGATTGGGTTTGTATTAATAATTACCCTTCAATACAGCGTGTACACTAACGCTTTAATCCCACTTTGGACGATCCACAAATATCGGTTTCTCAACCTATCTCGTTGGGATTTACTACAGAGATACCCGAATTGAGAGTTAGAATATACATGAAACCGTTGGAGTCAAAAGAAAGAAAATAGAAACTGGTTGTGTCTAGGGAAAAGTTATTGTTAAGCCTTCTATCAAAATCACCAAAAAATTATTCTGGGCTATTCTGGCATCTATTACGACTAAAAAGTCAGTGGAATGAAAAGAAAATGCAATTGGCTTACCTACTCTTTACTTCATTTAGCCAAAATAAGCACCACAGTGACACAAAATATCATTTAAGTGCACATGCAAAATATAGAAAAAACATAAGTTTTTGATTTTTCGTGATTTATTCAGGTAAGCCACTCTTGCCCCAATTTTAGTGAAGGCTCCCACCACCTCTGGGCATCTGTTAAGGACCCGATTTATGCGGCCCGTCCAAAGTGGGATCAAAGCGTTGGCGTACTGTCTTTTGGTTCTTCTTGGTCCATTCTGCGATCGGGTGCGCCGAGACATTCTCTTTTTATCTACATCAATGCTAGTCATCAGTGGCAGAAAAACTTGGTTGCACGCCCCAATTGTGCTTGTAAAGACGGAAACATTTGCTTATTCTCGGGCCGTTGGGCTCATGCCAATGAGTAGCGTTGTCGTTTTTGTTGGCGGTGATGCTGGGCCTATTGACCACTACATTTTCTTGCATGTTACACTTTGACTCTAAAAGGAGACGCTGTGCGGACAAAAAAGCCACGAAGTTTCACGTTTAGCAATGTTCCATACACATTTCTAAACAAAATACTGCTAAATGCTTTTATACTTTTTTTTTACCCGTACTCGTTTGATTTTTGCACTCGCTTTGTGGATTCTTTTTTTTTTGCTTATTTCTGTCTAGCTTTGAAAATAAAACAGTGGCAAGTGGCAAAGTGTTGGAGTGAAAATAACTTACTATTAAATAACTATGAGTAAGTATTTTAGTAAGATGGGCTAGTCGGTGCGTGGCAAGAATGCCAAAAGTGCCGGGGATAAAGGAATAAAAAGAGTTCCCTGCTTGTCTTCTTTCTATAGTTCTCGTATCCTGGTGCTCTCGGTACGTGTTTTAGCCGAGAGATTTCTTCTCGTTTTAGCTTCCAGCCTACTCTGAGTCACGGAGCGTGCCTTCTCTCGCAGGCCCATTCCTCGCCAAGCTCTTTGCAGCTCTGTCGAGGCAGTCGTGGAACGGAGTTTCTCTGCTGTACCTCAGCTACGCCCTCCTCGGCTTCCACAAGGTCCCCGTGGTGGACGACGAAATGCTGAAAGATGTCGGGTGGGTCTTTTTTTTAGATGTACTGTTTGCAGCCTGATCTATCAGTATGTACCTGTAAAGCATTGAGGGCTTTGGAGGGACAACGAGGTGCGTGGGAATCGCTACCATCGAACCCCACAGTCCAACGTTAATATCCGACGTCCGAGAAATGGTCCAACCTCGTAACGGTGCCAATAAAGAAAGCCTAGTGTGCACACTTCCATTTTAGCGTAACCGAATGCGTTGTGCTCACTCATGACCACTTACGACGGGCAGACTAACCGTCACGCTGGCACCACCTATCGCGTAGCCCCGGAACACGTTGGACCTGCGTATTTCCTAATTTTTTACTAGTCGTTCTTTCACCGTGAGCTTGAAGTTATTCTGACAAAGCTATAAGCGGCCGTACGTCTATTACTATGATACGGTGTTCAACACATGCACGGTTTCTCTCGCAGGGAAATACTGACAAACATTCAGAGGTTCCAGGAGCCGGTGCTTCGTGCCTCGGCGCAGTGCTACTTGCTTGAAGTGTGCCTGGGACTTCTGGATCCGGTGAGAACCCTTCAGAGGACCCGTTATTTCCTCTTCTAACTTCTTTATATGTGTTCATTTCTATCTGTACAGATTGAGGCCAATGAGAGCAAAACGAATCATGAAGCATGTGAATATATTGAGCAGTGCCCTGTGTTTCTTAAGCGGTCAGCGACAGTAGTTGGAAACTAAGTTTTTTGGCATGGTTGTGGCTTTGGAGCCTGATGTGTTGCTCGTCTAATTATGGATGACTCGAGACATCTTTTCTTAGCATACGGGGTCGGAAGATTTTTAGAAGTGATCACCGGAAGGCGCACTTGTGATAGACTGCCTGATAGAGCACTACAATGAAACGTCTTGGCTGTAGCATTATTTTTGCATGGTTTCATTGACTTGCCAACCTCTTAACAACAGATTGAAGTCAGCTTTGATTTTCCCACCAAACCTGCCGCCTTCCTCAATGCGCGGGCATCACGTGGGCTTCAGTTGTGCGCATGCAGAGAGGGCACCACCAAAGGTGGTGAGCTCGCACTGAAGCTATTCGTAGCGCAAGTTCGCCTGCTTCTTGCACAGGGGTTGCGATGACGTCACAACGCCGAGCTCTTATGGGCTGATTAAAAGAAATAGTGGGTAGACCTCCAGGCATCTTCCATTGAGGTCTACCCACTATCCTTTCAATCAAAGCCATTCGGAGCTCGGCACGTCCCTGCAACGCCTGCTCAACAAGCAGACGACCTGCTCTCTGCATGCTTCATCTCACGTTAGAAGGATCTCGGCAGACGCTACGAGCCACCGAAGCAAGTTCAACGCCGCGTGAGTGTCGTGTGACGTTCCTGAAGGGCACAGCAAGAAGCGCGGGGCACAGGGTTATGGGATATGCTCAAAGCACTGAATTTGGCTAAAATGGCTCGTTACGTCCGCTGCAGTTCAACCCGAAGTTAAATGGAGCATAGGTATCTTTCGTGTCATGCTAACTGAAACCTGCCAAGAGTGTACAGGGTGGTTAAGGGTGACGCCCGGTCGTCTCTACTTTGTCCTTGACCCCGAGGGTTTGGCCTTCGTTTCAACAGAAAAAGGTCACCTTCGCCAGTCTCTCACGTTTCCTGGGGCTGTTCCGAAGAGACGAAGTGCTTGCGAGGGGCACCGCTCATTGGAATCTCACTGTAGAAGCCATCAAATGTCTGCTTTCGTCCGCGAACGGCAACTCTTTGCTCGGCCCCCACAACGCGGCCGCCTTTTTGCGGGAGTCGGTCAAGGAGCTCCTCAAAGCTGCCGGTGAGTATCACCACCGTGCCGGGAGGCGGCACGCCGTGTCATTGCGATCCTCTTGATCGGTCATAGAAGCTCCGGCAAAAAAGTGCATGCAAATGCGAGCAGTTGCGTTTGCGTTTGCTCATACTTTTTGCCGGAACTTGTACGACCAACCGCCGGGACCGTGACGTCCGACTGCACGACACTCCGGCTTGTTTGACGTTGTTTGTTGCCACTTGGGACCCCTTTCGATACGTGGGCGAAACAAGACGCTGAAAACATGGGTAGGAGATGTGCTCCAGGCACCATGGTATTACGGCTGTCGCGTCTGCTTGACAATCGGGAAGGAATGAACAAGAAACGAGGTCAAAGAGCAGTGGGTGTTTCGCGGACGCGCGCCTCCCTCGTTTGTCATTTCCGTCGTTCCATCCTTCCAGCATTTGGCGAAAATCTGGGTAGTGCTAGAAGCAACTTTCTGTTTTAGTGATTTCGTGCCACGTCGTCTATTTATTGACCGTGGCCTCAAACCGCATATAAGCAGGGCAAGTGAACAATGAAATCGACACAAAACTAATACTAAAATTTAAAAAAAAAGCAAAACAAGGACATTGTTATCTAACATATATTTTTGCATATTAGCCATAATTTAATTTTGAATCTCTTTGCTGCAAAGTGGATATCAACATCTACCATGTGTCAGTCTTTCTTTTTTTTTTGCTTTTTTTTTTATAGCATGGCGTGCTTTTTGACAGAACCCTTTAATCCCATAAATATGAATCCCAAAGAAAGGAGCAGGCTCTTTGACAGTTCAGTGCAGTCCGTCTTCTGGGTCAACACAAAATAAAGCTGTGGATGAAGATTTCTTCCCGTGAGGCTTAGGTACTTTTTCTATGCTAAAGCAGCTACAATTTTGTGTTGTTCAGCTTTCCCCCATTTCGGTAAAACCGGTTTGGGGTTTTTTTTCTGGTGGAGGCTGAGGGGGAGGGGGTTATCAGTATATGCTAAAAGCATGGAACCCTAGTTATAGAGCTCGAGTGTCAGATCAAGGAGTGGCAGGTCACAGGGAGTTTGCAATCTCATACTTCGAGTCTGCCGCTCCAACCTCTCCTCGACACGTCGCTGCAGGTCCTGCCGACGCACTTCTGCCGAGCGTGCCGAGGGTTGCAAGAATGGCGATCTTGCTGCACGACACGGGATGCTTGCCCGACACGGTCACGTGGCCGGCACTGCTCGGGGGTTGTGCCGCACTGCTCGGCACTGCAATCTTTCGTGCCTACCTTCCGCAGCTCCGAATCCTGAGAGCGGCAGAGCTCGTGGTGGCACTACACCGGGAAGCCGAGTCATGGAATCGTGGTGGTAAGACTACGATTATTAGACTCCGTCGCATGCAAAGTGTCTTAGAGAAAAGTGTACGGCGTTTCTTTCACCTCAAGAATTAACCATGCATCGTCGATCGCTCACTCTTCGTCCAAGTCTAGCACTAGCAGTCCGGATCGTTTGCCAAAGTTTTAGAGCCTATTGTTATTTGGTTCAAAAGTTATTACCGTAAAATACCAAGCATCCGCCCATTCCACACTAAGCGCCCACCCCGAAATTTTGTAACATCTAAAAAAATATGCACTTAGAAGCAAACTATTGAACATGTTTCATTGCACATGGTGTGCATCCACCACATGTTCATCCAGTCAATCTATGACAAACTCCATATTTTGCCCCTAAGCTTGTGAGTCAGAGACACTGACAGGGTATTTATGCTCGCCGAGGTTTTTAGTTGTACGTGACATGTGAGAGCTCAACTACCCAGAACAGAATTTGCGGCTCGAAATTCGGTTTCTTTCCGCCCGAAAACCGCCGATCACGAACTGGCCAGTTCGAGTCTCGCTCACTCTCTTTTCTGTGGTCACGGGCCGTTTTCTAAGGTTTCGACGCAACCACCAAATTTAATCAAAGTCGTTGGTCACTGAAGGCACATACTCAATATTAAAGATAGAAAAAAGAAATGTGAAAACAATTTTTTGTGGCTTCTAAAAAGCTGCAAATACATTGATTAACAAAAAAAAAAAAAAAAGTTGCACGGTTACTTGGTTTTTGGTAACTTCCTTCTCCTCTATACTTCTCCTTCCTCCCCAGTCCAGTTTTGGTTTCGAGCAGTTGCGTTTTCTGACTTTATTAAAAATATATGTGATGCTGTAGCAAAATATTGATTGGATAATCTTCTGGCACCATTAAAAACCACCTGGCAAAAAATAAAAAATAAATTTTAAGGGGTGTCAGTGTCCCTTTAAGCTAAACTTTAGTAGCGCGCATATTATTATCGTACTATTAATATGTCCGAGTTTGAGGTAGTTGGTTTAAGTTAGAGCCATTAAATAAGCTGCGCTTTAGCGTGATAACACTCCAGCCATTTTGGTGCTTAAAATCATGGTATCCGGTTACCTGAAGCTACATCTGAAATTGCAGAAAACGCTTTTCCGTCCTCCAGAGATGTTGAAACAGTCCGCGACAGAGCAAAACGATGCCTCCCGAGCTTCCCAACACCACACCCGAAGCCAGTGAAGTCGCATTTTTTAATCGTGACGATCGCCAGTGTCGTCTGCTTTGTACCAAGCACCAAGATGGCAACACCCACTAGAAGATCGGGGAACGGAGTGCCGATACTCTAGGGTTAGCTCATCTAGTGGCTCTAGTTGTAGTCGCTGACAGGGTTAGAATGGCAGGGAGGTCTTTCAGTTGTGCCGCCCCAGCGCGAGCTTCCTACCTTCGACAACATTTTGCCGTCTTACGAGCTTCGAGCATCGACGCATGGCCAATGCACGACAAAAGGCAACAAGCAGGTGCTGGAGGCCAGGCATTTGATAGGGCCGCCCCGCCATTCTCTTCGTGTGAGTGGCTATAGGTCATAAAAGAAAATGCCTCAAAGACCGTGACATTAATATGGACGGTGTTTCAAAACCGGGGCAGTGTCTCGTAGAGAAATAGAAGGTGCGTCTTCTTTTGCAGACTCTCTACAGCAAGAAGTATTGGCAACACTGGTGCCTGCTGCAGAAGAAATTCACGAGTATGTCTTTACGCAGGCTTTGGGGACCATCGGCAGCGTAAGAATCACTGTGGCATCTTAATTACAATATCTACTTGGATCTCACTCAAGCTTCTTACAAATGAGGGCTACTTGTCTACCTTTCCACACAGATGGAGGGACAATCATTGTGATTTACGGAAGTCAGGCGAAAGGGAATGTGCAGAAAATGTTTGAACTAAAGACGGTGGTTTCTACCAATACTCTGAGCGTGATGTAGAAGTTCTCAAAGTTCGAGTGCAGGCTGCTATCAGTCCCTAGTCTCCTTCGTAAATTGTGTGGCTCCCCACATCATGCTGCGTGTTGAAGTACCGTATGTCCCCCCAAAACATTTACTGTGTTGTTTTTTTTCGCCGCAAAGGTACACTACACATTGCTGACCGCTCGAGAATGTAGTGCCAGTGGTCTGGACAAGATGCCAAAGTTTCAGAGCTTGCCGTCATTTGGTTAAAAGTTATAAGCAATTTTTGGAAACGTTCAGTGAGAAAATTGCAGCCTACGAAGCCCACAAATAGATGGAGCTGAATGGCATCAACTACCAGAAACAGCCCCATTTTCCCACTGAAATTTTTAGAAAATCGCTTATAATTTTTTAATAAGATAGCAGTTAGTTCTGAAACTTTGGCATCTGGTGTGGACTGCTAAAGCTACATTTAGGTGAGCGTTCAGCAACGCATATAATTTAATTTAAAAAAAAAACAAAAAAAAAGCATTACATTTTTTTTTTTAAGGCCATGTTGTACATAGGCAAAACCTGTACAGAAATAAGCTTTGTTTTAATGTTTTCTGTTTGTGAGGAGGACGCTGATGATATATGCCGTCGCATTGTTGCCTGTGATGCTATTTGGCATTTCCACATTAACTTCTTAGCCCTACATGACAAGGGTGGCTTGTTGCGTGTAGCTAAAGTGACCTCTCAAAGCGGCCGTGCTTGCCACTTATTTGTCGCTTTCTTGTTTGCAGTTAGACGACTTTGAGACGTCACAGAAGTTCTACCAGCTACTGGATGTACTTTCGACCCAGAAAGAGTACAGCCGTCTGTTGTACAATTTTGTCAATGGAGGAATCGCTCTGTGTCATGAACAGTTGCTGCCCGCAAATGTAAGTCGTTTTTGCTTTTTGTTTTCTGGAATGCATGCTTTCATGACTACAATTTTTTTTTTTTTTAAACGAACTGGGTTATTTTTTTATTGAGTGATTTCTGTGAAACCTTATAGTATTATGATTATATTTATGTTTAGAAGGTGAGCATGTCGGTGGAAATACACGTTACTGAAGAAATAGACACAGGGACGAATACGACACATCTTTCAGCTTTCAACACATACTGCTGAAAGTCGAAAAATGTGTCCCTTTGTTTATTCTTTCAAAAACAAATGATTATATTTACTTGCACAAAAACTGTTGAGAGTTTTCTTTTTTCTATTGAGTTCATTTGTCTGGTACGTGTTTGTGTCGATGTAGCAGTGAAAACTTATTGCGCATCATACTTTGCCTTGCTCCAATCTTTGTTTTGCTTCATCTTGTTGTTTTCTGTAGGCCTCGGATGATGCGGTGTCCATCGCAACTGTGCCCCGCTGGAGGTTCCTGCGCTGGTGTTTGAAGCACTTTCCTAGCAAAGCTAGCGTCGTCGAGGAACTTCTATCCAAAGTAATCGACCGGGGAGGCATTGGCAAACCGCTCAAGAAGCCTCCTGAATGGATGTAAGCAGTTTTGTTTGGTGAACGGCCTTTTATCAAGCATCTTTATTTATTTATTTTACATACCCTCAAGCGCCGAAGCATTGTAGAGGGGAGTATTTTTTATTGTTGTCGCGCTTCTATTTATTAGTGCGAAAGCAGTAACTGTCTTATGGAGCGAGCCGACGTCATCAGCTTTGAAGCCGCACCAAACGACAGCTTAAATCTTTTCTCCAAGTGAAGCCAGCCCCCAGCTATGAAACTACGTGAAAAGCCTAGTCAAACAGCACCTAGTTTCCCCAATCCCAAAGGAGCGGAGTAAAGCTGATGGATTTCGGCTTCGGTCCCGTTGGCTGGCACACGTCGACGAGGCCCCTATTGGCCACTGCGCGTCAGTTTCAACGACTGCCACCCCATGGCGCTGCTTGTCCGCCAGTGCGCAGGTAACACAAAACGTCCAAGGTCACAGCGGCGAGGAGAGGGCACACTGTGCTGTCGACTCAGATAAGCTGCAGACGAAATAAGGGAGTGGAAGAATGACGTGTATGCTTTCGCATTCACAACTCATAAGAAGTGCTTAGGTGTACCTCAAGCCTTTTTTTTTTGCTCTGGGGGCCATTAAACATTAGAAAGCCTGTGTTTTGTACTTAGGTGCCTTAGGGTGCAGGCAACTGTTTTTTGCACTATTAGCTGTATGCAACAAGAGGGATCATATGTGCTCAGAATTTACGGCCACCTGATCTAAATCTATTTCAGTTCATATTAAATTTATAAAATATATATTAGTACGTGTATTTTTCGTATCATGGGAATAAATGCTGAGAAATACGAACAAAAAAAAAAAATACAGTCAAACTTGTTTATAACGAACAGCAGGAAACGCTGCGATCAGTTCGATATAGCAAGTAATTCGATATAGCAAAAAACATTTACAACGAACTTCCATGATGCGTTTGTTGAAAGGCGGGAGCTTCTCTTTCTTTCTCATCTCTTCGGTTCCGCGAAGAGATGAGATTTTTGTTCTTTTTTTGCATGCGTGCAGTTGTTTTGTTTTTTTTTAAAGCTTTTTTTTTTTTTTTTTTTGAATCGCTTCTCTTTGTGGGCAACCTTTTTGAGGTGAAAATGTTGTTTTTTTTGTTGTTTTTTTTTGCGCGTTGATGCAGTGTATTTTTTAGCTTTCTCCCCTTCTGAATCGCTTCTCTTCGCTCAATTTTGTTTGCAACTTGAGCTTTTAGAATTTTCTTTCTTTCCTACTTTTTTCTTTCTTTTGGGGGGGGGGGAGGGAGAGGGAAGGGAGGACAGGCCAGAAGACGACTGTTTCCGCGTTTTTGGAAACTTTCCCGTGGGGAAAAAGTTTGATATAGCCAATATGTTGTTTGTTATACGGATTACTTTCTACATGCATTTTTATGTAAAATTTTAATGAGTTCGATATCGACAATAATTCGCTGTACGTGAGTTCGTTCTAAACGGGTTTCACTGTATCAGCACGTGTATTTTTCGTAACAATGGAGGTAAATGGCGACGAATCCGAACCCTAGTTAATGCTCCACTTATATTTATTCTTAAGTTTCGAAGCATGACGCTAAGGGTAGTGGGCCTTTGTGCAGGCAAAACCAGAAGCTTTGTGGAATGACAAGAAACATGGGTGTTTGTGGCTGTGTATTGTCGTTTGCAGAATCCAAGACCGTGTCACAAAGTCACGTTGGGTGGCTCTGGTCACGACGGTGACTGAAGTCATATGGGAGAGCTTGACGGCAGTGCGCTTGTTTGCCGACGATCGCCGTGGAAAGCTACTCGTTGAGGCCGTAGAAGCCCTCGAGACCGCGTCTCAAGAGTCCTGCCTCTACATCTTGAGAGCGGTTTCACATACCCTGTCTCTGGTGAGCAGGCTTTCTCCCCATTAGGGAAGGCCTTAGAAATTATTGATTATCCGGGAAGTTTGTCTGTCTGCGGAAATGTCGAGGAATTTCGAAAGTACATTGCCGTGCACTGAGAACCGCAAAAACATTGGCAACGTCGCCATCATTTTCCACATACCATGTTTTTCAGCGTATGACTCACAATCTTTTTTAGAGATTTCTGTCACTGCTTCTTGTACGAAAGTGCAACTTATACACATTATTTTCTACAAGTATGGACCTTAGCTGCGGGAATTTACCATAAGTATTATATTTCTCGTTCAACTCATCGACGAGAGCGTTGAAACTTTTTCTTGCTCGTGCGCATATTGCGATTGTAATACCGTAAAATAACGGGCAAGCACCCACTCAAACTTTGGAGATAATCACAAAAAAAATGGGGGATGGGCGCTTTCCAGGTCATCAATTTTACATATAAATGCACTGTGCATATTTTCTCAGATCTTACAGATTTGGGAATGGGCGCTTAATGTGGAATGGGCGGATGCGCAGTATTCTACGGTACACATATGCGGGCTTTTCGGTGCAGTTTGCTGCACCAACCGTACAAATGTGTAGGTGTGGCTCAAGGCCTGTTCACGCATTTTCGCTGCTTACGACCGAGTTCTTCCGATCTCTCACGACGAGAGAACATGCTGGCTCATTTTCTTTCGTTGTAAGGGATGCTGGTGAAGGTTTTGAAGTATTTGAGAGATCAAATATATACATATACTATCTATGAGAAGTTGTCGTTTATAACATTGACAAAAGTGTTTGCGGGCCAAAAAAGAAAAAATGATGCATGAAAAAAAATATTTTTAAATGTACAAAAATGACGTCTGTTACACGGCTAGCCCGATAGGTTGCGCCAGCCTGGCATCTCATAAAGGATCCCCAGAAGTTTTAAGGCACTCAGTTGCAACCAGTCGCAAGTGTGTGAACCAGTCTCTACACAAAAGTGTAGGGTTGTGCGAATATTCGAAATTTCAAATAGTAGTTTCGAATAAGACTGTAGTATTTACGTTTGTCGGTCTTTTTAGTTTTGTCAAAGATGGCATAACAACGGACATCAGTTTTGTAATAAAAGAAGGTGCCACGCACTGGCGGCCTCGAGGCCAGCGCTCGGTCAGACGTTTTGCCAACACTCGAACAGGACGGTTGTCTGTCCTTTCGCCACCGGGTAAACCAGACAGGGTGCACTCGGGAAGACGGCTTCTCCGGCTGGGCCATGGAACACCGGCACCTTCGTCCGATGAGTCTTTCATAGCTTTAGCGCCCCGTAGGCGGAGTAGTACAAAGACACTATTCGATATTCGCTTCTAGAAGAACTGCACTATTCGCATTTTTCAAAGGGTTGATTGCGGCAAGTTAGCCCTGTTGAGTGTGCTTCTTACCGAGCACCGGTGCACTGCAGAGAAGCAATGCCCGCGGAAGCGAGCTTTGCGGGTGTTGCTTCTCTGCATTACATCGGTGCTCGGTAAGAAGCACACTCAACGGGGCAACCCGCCGCGATAAACACTTGGAACAGTGTGAATATCGCAATTGCGTGCTTGGAAGAAAAACATAAATTCAAAGTGGGATGGCGCACGCGTTCCGGCTGTCTTTGATAATAAATGCAAACTTTGTGAATCTGTATATCTGCATTGTAGTTAAAGTTTCAAAAATAAACTAACGATCATGCAAGAGCATACTATGTCAGGTGGAGGTGCCCTTACAACCTGCGTTCATCATGCGCGATTCATTTTTTTTTGACTCAAGACTAAAGAAAGAATATTTTATACAGCAAGATTTTAAGTTCATTCAATTGGGCCATTTCTATAGGATTGGCCATTTCTCAATTGGCCATTTCTATAGGATTTATTTTATGTCCAATCCGTCGTTCGCTTGCCATCCCAAGACATTGGACCTTTTAAGGTCTCAGTTCATAAATATAGATATATCAAACTTAGCTTTTAAATGAACAAGTGGAACAACCTTCACAAGTTTAGCTGGATTTTCATCTAAGCATTATGCAAGGGTAGTGAAAGGCAGGGGAAAACTTTGATATTCGAATCAACAATATTCGGCCAAAACCACTATTTGCTTCGAACTCAAAATCCTCTATTCGCACAAGACTACAAAAGTGTGATTTATGTAACAACATTGTTTTTTTTTAAACAGCCGTTTATTGGCTATTTTAGCAAAATCTATGCTGCGTAGCGGCAATGCCAAGAAGCTCAAGAGCAGAGGTCTTTTCGACTTTGTCGTCTGTTATCGCTGCTTGACTCTCGTAGGCAGGATAGAAACAAACATTGTTTCCAGTAATTATTTTTATGCTTCCGCCGTGCCATTCCTATGCACTGACTAGAGGAAGGTTTTTAGCGTCGAAAAATCGCTTTGCATTCATATGTAACACCGATTTTATGCTGCAGTGCAAGAAATGTATGGTGGTCTCTACAAGAAACGTATGGGGTGGCTTTCTGTCCGCCATTTTGCCTGACCAGCGTGCCGCCTATAGTTCGCCGGAGTCGCGAATAAGGGGTACGACCAACGCGGAGCGCAAGTTCGTCTGCTTCTTTTCGCAGGGGTTGTGGTGACGTTAAAACGCCGAGCTCTGATTGGTTCTGATTGGAGGACAGTGGGTAGACCTCAAGTCAGCTTGCTTTGAGGTCTACCCACCATCCTTCAATCAGAGCCAATCAGAGCTGGCACTCTGACGCCACCACAACCCGTGCAAAAGCAGATAAACTTGTGCTCTGCCATAGACTGAAAAATGCGGTAATAAAGAAAGAAAACCTGCACTTTCCCAGCGTAACATGTCTTAGACTCCAGTTCAGCTCACAAACTGAAAGAAAGTGTGGTTACATTCGGACGATCATTCTCCGTCGCTTCCTTTCCAGATGGAGGACGTGGATAAGCAGCTATTGTCGGAGTGCCTCCAGGTGTGCTGGCAGTCCTGCAAGGACCTGAAAAAGAGCGACCTGTTCCGCCCCTCTGTGGAGACGTTCATCGCTCTCGCCTTCCGAAGTTCCGTTCTGCTCTCCGACTCAAGGTCTCTTGTTGGTCCCGTGAGTTCAATGGCGTGCCTGCCTTTTAGTCCTTGACAGAGCCCTTCCATGCTTGTTTACCGAGGAATAGACAGTATTGTGTCTTTAGCATGACACCAGTAACATGTTTATAAAGCGTGACTGAGAATAGTTTCCAATTACTGTAGACAACTTTATTTTCGCAGGCTTGGTATGGCGCGAATTTGGCCGAGTGGGAATTTCAGGAATATTTTACAAGTACTAAATTTTGCAATCCGAATTGCTACGCTGTGTATTAGTTACCATAGAAATGTTATATTTGCGGCATCTATTTTTCGCTGTATTTTTTATTCACAAAATTTGCAGAAATCATGTCCTCGCACAATGTTTTTTTAGGCTTTACAAAGTAGTTAACAAAAAGCCGTAAAAGTTGCTCTAATGAGCTTTGTGCAGGTAAGTTATATGGCCAAGGGGACATACCGTAATATGGGTGAATAATTGCCACAATAAGTGTGGTAATTAGCTAAAATTTGTTCATTAACTTTTTAATTTGTAAAGATGATTATATTGTTCCAATTAAAAACTTGCTGAGCGTCATTGAGAACCACTAAATTCAAAGTTTTAGAAAGACTTGGAGCACGTGGGAAGTGCAGGGGTGCACTAAATTTACCACTTGTGCACAGGCACAAAAGTGAAAATGCCCCCACAGGTTTTTTTTTTTTTTTGTTTTTTTTTTATTGTTTGCATTTTTGCACCGCCAGCTTTGCGCCTGTTTTGTAGGAGTAGTAACTTTAGTGCACTACCGAACCTCAAGGATGAAGAAAGAATAAACAATTAAAACAGGGACAACACAACCACATCTCTCATAAAAGATGTGGTTGTGTTGTCCCTGTTTTAATTGTTTATTCTTTCTTCATCCTTGACTTAAACCAACATGCTCTTCTACCAAGCATACCGAACCTCCCACTTGTCTAAAGTCTTTCTAATGTTTACTAATTTAGCAGTTTTTGATGACGCTCAGCAAGTTACTAATCAGAACAATTAACAGATTTTAGTTAAGTATTCGACTAATCGTGACGATTGGCCCGCTATATCACAAGTCTCAAACAAGCGGCCTGCAACTTGCAGGGACACGGCCCGCAGGTAACCCCGGCTGCGAGCCCCCGTTTCCACATCTCGAATAATCCAAATGGCATGCACCATAATAATCACATGTCGCCAATTCATATCCGCTCGAAACATAGGTTTACTTTTATAACATTTTCACACGAAAGCTTGCATATGTCTGTTTCTGTCCTCTTTTTGTGTTTTGCTTTCTTTATATTGATTATTACCCCAACACGCTCGTCAAAGTCATCATTAATATTGTTCTGTTTTCATTTGTCTCCTGTTTTGTTTTAATTTTTGCTTCCCAGCTTTTTATAGTGTTTATCACCTGTACGGCAATTCCGCCAATAGGCTGCAAGTGCGAGCTCTTTGCTCAAGGACGCACTTCGGCTGCACGAATTCTTGTTCAGCAGGAGCGACTGCCAAAGATAAAGCTATAAGCTCGAGATTTTTGCCTTCAGAAAATATCACCCTTAAAATACAAGTATTTTCTGAGACTTGCGCTATCAAAAATTCTCAGGAAAGCAAAAACTGTCCAATGAAGCTTTTTTGTTTCGAGACATGTTGAGCTTGAAGTAATTCTCGAGTAAATTGAGAAACGGGAATGACAGTGTGCTTGCTCTCTTGTTTCGCTTAAAAAATGCCGGCACGTCGGAGGGGCTGTGTCATTTTAATTCTTGTGGCCGCATCAGGTAAGGGTCAAAAGGAGTGCTACAAACGAATCCCTACTAAAGATATCACTGCCAAATTGCGAGATACAAAAAGCTGAAAGCACAAGGTCCCTTCTCTAAAAAATCTCTTGACCCAACTACGGCTCCCCCCTCTCCGCCCCCACCGCCTTAGATGTTGAACCTTGACCTTTTGAGGTGGGCTGTCTGGACCCCACACTCGAATGAGTTTAAGACCCTTTTTCTGTATTATGTCCCCCTGACCATATGACTGGGCTGCACAGACTTCTTTCGTGTAGCTTTCGCAGCTTTTTTTTAAAAAAAATTTGTGAAGCCTAAAGAAACTCCTTGTGCATACATTTTAGCACAATAGTGTTCCAAAAGCAGGCAGTAAAAGTATTTTGAATATAATATCAACACTATGGATTATACATTGAAGGCATAAGACAAAGTGGTTGGTAGATTCATCTTGTTCCTTTGATAAAAAACTAATTTCCAGTGCCTTCTTTTACTACTGCACCTTTGGCCCAACAGGGGGATGGGTCGCAGTGCAAAATCACACCAAATCATAACTTTGTTATCAAACGGGCTTGGTATGTATAGCGAAGCCCGCTTTTACCTGTATCGCCAGAAGTTTTGCAAGGAGGCGAGTTTAACCTCATTTCATGCAGCGTGCATGTGAGAAATTGTGTAATAAAGTAAGTAATTGGTTTACCTGGTCTGTTTCAGTACTTGGAAGAAATTGTGGATCTGGGCGAAGTGATGCCCGGGGTATTCAACAGCCTCATCAAGCAGTTAATCAGTGTCTGGCAGAGCAACCGATCCCTAATGATAGACTATGTCGACGTCATGGTGAAGGCTCTCACTTACGGCCCTGTGTACCGAAAAGACCAGAGGTGGGTAATCTGCCATCATTTTACTTTTGTTTTAAACGTGGGGCGTGGAAGGTGACTTAGTAGTCTTTCGTCAGTCGCGAATACTTTGTTGTGCAGCGCGACTTTATATGATTGGGGCATTGGAGGCATTTCTAGAGTTTTTGCAGTAAGTGTTGATTGATTGATTGATTGACGTGCAGAATCGTGTTTGATGCCGAAGCGTTTGTGACATCGCGAGGCCACTCCCTTTCTGTCAACCAGCTTCTGGAAAGGTAAAAACTTATGCTTTTTAATACTTTTTGGGTGGGTGACATGTTGCTATAAACGATATTCGTTGCACTAGTACCATACAGCCATTTTTAGTGTTTGTGAATTAAATTGCACCAAACAGTCAAACCCGTTTAGAACAAACAGCAGGAAACACTGCGATCAGTTCGATATAGCAAGTAGTTCGATATAGCAAAAACCATTTACAACGAACTTCCACAATGTGTTTGTTGTAAGGTGAGAGCTTCTCTTTCTTTCTCAACTCTTCGTTTCCGCCTTGTGACAACGCGTTAGAATTTTTGTTTTTTTTGCATGCGTGCTGATTTTTTTTTTTTTAGTTTATCTTCCCTTCTGAATCGCTTCTCTTCGTGGGCAACCGCTTTGGGACGAAAAGTTTTTTGTTTCTACGCATGCGTGCACAATGTTCTTTTTTATTTCTTCCCTTCTGAATCGCTTCTCTTCGCTCAATTTTGTTCGAGGCATGAGCATTTGGAATTTTCTTTCTTTCCTACTTTCTTTTATTTTGGGGGGGGGGGGGGGGGGGGGGGGGGGGGGGGGGGGGGGGCGCGGGGGCGGGGGCGGGGCGGGGCGGGGCGGGGAGGGAGGGGGGAGGGAGCGAGGGAGGGAAGGGAAGGGGAAGGGAAGGGACAGGCTAGAAGACGATTGTTTGTGTGTTTTGGAAACGTTCCCGGGGGGAAAAGTTTGATATAGCCCAGGGGTGGCCAACCTGCGGCTCGCGAGCCGCATGCGGCTCTTCCCGTGGTAGAGTTCGGCTCTTCTCGTGGTAGAGTGCGGCTCGCGGCTCTCTTCCTCCCCCCCCCCACACACACACACACACACGCACTCCACCGCCTTCTTCCCGGTCACACGAGCACCTTCTCAAAAAGAGAAATGGAACTTGTTTTAAATCGAAAGACAGCATTCGATTTGGTAGTCTCGTGCTACTGCTACTAAACAAACAGTTGGATTGCTTTTGACTCAGATAGATTGAAAGTAGTTTGAGTTTCGTTTATTGCCCTTAACAAAACTTGCACCCCCTCCCCTCGCGGCTCTTGGAAGTTTCGTGCTTTTGTTTGTGGCTCTTAGCCCGGGTCAGCTTGGCCACCCCTGATATAGCCTATGTGTTGTTCGTTATAAAAAGTGCTTGTTACATGCATTTTTATTTAAAATTTCCGTGAGCTCGATATTGACAATAATTCACTGTTTGTGGGTTCGTTCTAAACGGGTTTCACTGTATTATGACCAATCGTAACCAAGGAGTTTGTGTAATAAAGAGTACTCAGTAACAAAAAGAAAGCTTCGCTTCTGTAAAACCTTTTTATGTTACTATCAATTTACCAAAAAGAATAGTATCTTTACCACAGAAGTATTCAATTCCATCACTACCTCAAATGCCCTTACTAACTTTACAAAATTTCCAAAACAGTTTTGTTTCTGAAATCTCTGTGTAGTAAAGCTAATTTAAATTACCATATTTTCCTGTCTCTAAATCACCGCCCTGTAAATGGTTGTTTTCACGAAAAAGTTGCTATATAAGTGGCACCTTTGTTATAAGTCACGCCTCTTTTTACAGTCCATATAGCAAATTTGCACTGATTGATAAGCCCGCATATATGTGTTATGATTGAGATATATGTGCAGGCGAGAGCCGCTTCAAAAAATCTCTCCAACAAAATAAACGATTAATATAACCCCGCAGCAAGTTTGCACAGTTAAAGTCCATACCTATTTCAGAAAAAGAAAAAAAGAACATATAAGTTGCACCATTGCATAAAATGCACCAACAGAAATTATTTTTTTTTCTTTTCTTTTTGTAGGTAGTTTTTTTTTTCAAAGTTCTTTTACTACAAGGTGTTATTGTTTTGTTGTCTTTTTGCTTTACAGGCAGTTTAAAAAAATAAAAAAAACAGTGAAAACTTCACTAATGTGGCTGTGTAGGTGAGTTATATGGCCATGGGGACATAATATAAAGGGCTAATCATCAAAATAAGTCTGATAAAAAATTGTTGACTAACTTTTTAAGTTTTTTGGATAAAATGGGTTTCAATTAGAAAATTGCTGAGCATCATCAAAAGCCGCTATATAGCAGATTTTAGAAAGACTTGGAGTGTGTGGGAAGTGCGGTGGTGCACTAAAGTTACAATTCATGCAACAGGTGCAAAGCTGGCAGCGTGAAAACGAGCCCGCACGATGTTACCGTCCCTCATCGTGCAAATTTCGCGCCGCAAGGCTTGTGCCTGTGTACGACTGCACTTCCCACGCACTCCATATCTTTCTCAAATTTACTGATTTAGTGGTTTCTGACGATGCTCAACAAGTTTAAAATTGAAACCATGTGTTCACTACCACTAACTAAAAAGTTCATTATCAAATCTTAGTTAATTATCCGACTTGTTGTGACGATCAGCCCCTACATTATGTCCCCCTGGCCATATAACTTGCCTGCACAGACAGCATCGATGTAGCTTTCACGGCTTTTTTTTTAAACGAATTTCTAAAGGCTAAAAGAACACCCTGTATATTGGGTTGTGAAATTCGCTGCCGTGACCCTTTGTGGACCACGCCATACGGAACCCCGTGCCATCCATTTCAGTGAACATCAGGCCGACGTGGAGGTCCGCGCACGTGGCATAGCGTTTCTGATCCAACTGGAGCCCGGCTCGGAGCTGGCTCTTCCAACGGCCGCCCAACTCTCCCAGGCGCTGGTCCGCCTCGACGCGGAAGTGTCGTCCACGCGTAAGCGCTACTTCGGCAACTCGACCATCCATCGGGTCAAAAACAGGATCTGGCAATCGCAGCTCTGCCTCCTTCATCTTCTGGACGAGGTATGTGCGTATTTTGTCTCTGAAAAGATTGTGGATTTACGTGTATATTACGCCGACAGCTGTTACGAGGACTTCCCAGCTGTATTCGTGGCGTCGGTGTTGTGCCAGGCGAAAAACCTTGTCTCACTTGCGCTCATACGCGCACCGCCCTAGGAGGCCAGGCACCAGTGCATACGCTTGCCTCTTACCAGACGGCAGTGTCTTCTACCTCTACAGTTGATGGGGGACACTGCTACAGATTTCTTGATGTAGAACTCGGTTTTGCACGTACCGATCTGAAGCAACCCACCACCCTTAGTGGTATCTGTCTCGATTTAGTCTTGGGCAGGGTCATTTACTCATTTGTTGTGCGGTCTGTTCCCTTTCCTTTATGCTTTAGTGATTACCAGGCTGTGTTGTGTGAGATCGAGTAAATAAAGAGTGGGTGTGCATAAAAGTGACTGTTATTACGCGCAATAACAGCTATCGCCGTCACGTCGCATACTGTTGCAAAAAGCTGCAGATGTTTTAGTAGTATATCTCGGCCGAAGACATTAAAGTTGAGTGTTTACAAGCTATGGTAATAAACTAACAAAATGCAGTTATTATTAGTATGGTACTATGGCTTTTAGTTTTACAATATTGGCTATAGCATTCTTTAACTGTTTGTGAGTTTCAATGGATGCCGTTTATATTGGAAGGCAACTATCCACTCTTCTGATGTGTGTCGAAGAAATGACTGAAAAAGAGCATTAGCTCTACAGAATGGGATTTCGACCTTATGAACATGATCTAACCGAAATTAAGCATATTGGGGGTGTGAACAAATCAATCAATCTGTCAACTAACTTCCTGTTTAATATAATATTACTATATTATTATCAATGTTGAGCGTCTAGGTAGAATGTTGTCTCAACATGTGAGTACACCCTACGTAGAAACATCAAAAATTCCTGTTAAAAAGTTATTTGTCCCTGAATTTAAAAATGCTGCATAAGGAGCTTTGTATGTTCATGCAAAGCTAGTGGCTCTAATGGATTTTAGTTTGGTCTCAAGGTAGACCTCCAATTAGTAAAAACAAACGTTAAAGAAATGCTGAAAATGTGAGAACAGCATCAGCAAGAAAGTAGATGACCCCGAAAGAACAGCAGATGGCCGAGACAAGATGGTTTTATTCCTTTACGTTTCATGCAAATGAATCTGAAATAAGTATTCTTTCCAAGGACTCGTCAGTTTTAGTAGCCAAAAAATCATTGAAGAAAAACCTTATTTCTTCCCATTTTTCTGAAGAATAAACGAAGCCAGATTTTACAGTGATAGCTGTTATTGCTGAGGTACTGCTGTGGATGCCATATGTGTTTCGTGCACGGCAGTGACCGTTTGTTATTTTATAGCATATAATTTATTCCCATAAATACCAAAAATTAGGGAAAGAAATAAATGACATTCTGTTGCATCTAGAGATGGTGCCAGGGGACCTAAGTGCAAACCATCTCACCAGATTTTTGTTTATTTTTTTCCGTTTCGGGAAGGCAACCTCTCGCATCCTACTCGAAAACGTCTACTCGGAGCTGGTGGAAGAGAGTCAGCAGCCCTCGATTCGTTGCCTTCTGGAGTGGGTGGCCGTGAGGATACTCCTTGGTTACCCCCGGCTTAGGCCCACCCTGGAGCCAGCCATGGAACAGGCAAGATGGGATTCTTCTTCTGTACCTACAGTTCTTTGCAACGACTTTTTTGTAGCATCTACGGTAGGCCTAAAGAGGTAGTTGAATGATGTAGGGTTGGAACCAGTCATGGGTAAGTTACTTTTAAAAAGTAATTCGTTACAGTTACAGTTACTTTTAAAAAGTAACGACGTTACTTTTCAGTTACTTTTCTATAACAAAAAAAAAAATTAAGAAAAAACTAGAAAACGCCCTCACAACGTTTTATTGCATAAAATTAAAAAAAGTACACTTTTTACTTCATATTGTAACTTAGCAGCAGTTGCTTCTTGAAGTTATATAGTTTTTGAAAGTTTCCACGCCAGAGTAGTGGCGCAAATCAAAATACGAAACATGGGCAGTGCGGAGTAGTGGCGCTAATCAAAATACGAGACATGCGCAGTGCCCTTCACGTGTATTGTTGTTTCACGGTTGATTTACCCTATTAAAAAGCGTTTGCACAGAAAAAAGAAAAACCACAACATAGGTGGTGCTTCAAGACACTAAGATGTAAGTGTTCAGTCACAAAGTACAAGCGCGTGTGTAAAGATAACTAGATATTTTTTCATAAAATCTACACGTGGCTATATTCGGGTCGTGAGTCGTGACTCGTGAGAAAGAACGTATTCACAACTTTGTGCAAGGCTAACTTGACACTCGAAATGTCGGAATAGACGATTTGGAAAGTGCAAGAAATGACTGAATTGCACTTGTTCAGTGACATATTATTCATAAAACGCTCAAAAGTAACGACAAAAGTAATGTCGTTACTTTCATCGTTACTTAGAAAAAAGTAATAGAACTACAGTTACGAGTTACATTTTTAAAAAGTAACTCGTTACAGTTACAAGTTACCAAAAAAGTAACAAAGTTACAGTAACGCGTTACTAGTAACGCGTTACTACCCAAATCTGGTTGGAATGTTCCTTGCTACGCTCAAACTTACTGGCCCTGTTCTGACCCCAGATGCTCGTATTCAATGCCTCTGACCAAGAAGCTCCTTTGTCGCGGCGTCTCTTTTTTTTGCAAAACTTGATGGCAGAGTCATGGGGACTACCCCATAGTGACGATAGCCGAGTGCAGTGCATAAATTGTACACGAGGACTGCTTGAGCGCTCAATTTTGGCTTGCAACAATCAGTGCCTAGGCAGGCATTCAGGTAGTGGCCCGTGTCTAATCGCTGCAATAACGAGAATGGGAGAGTGGTCGAAACCTAACAATGTCTAAAACTCAAACACGCGCACTATGCTTTGTCAATTTTAGTGCAGGGGTGGGTAGGGCGATGTATTAACATTCTTCTCTCCTCCCATCCCCTGCAGTATGTAGGAACGGGGGCGGTCAAGTAGGATAGGAATTATTTATTAGTATAATAATGTAGTCGGGTGCAGAGGCATTTCACGGTCGGGTTGTATGTGTGGTGGCATTTCAGGAAAAATGATGCAATGCCCCTAGGAAGACGTGCATCGATGAAGAGAGAAGTCTTTTATACGTTCACAATTCTCCTGCCCCGTGTTACACTGCACATCGTTCTGATAGAGAGGGCTGCTCATTAAAAATTCCACCAAGTGCTATCAAACCTTCAACATATTTAACAGAATGTCTATGTCATGCGATTCTTTTCATCACGTATCTCGCGGTAGTGATTGCACAACATTCAGTGAAACCGCCTTTTCCTCCGACAACAGGCGGGCGTTGCCCGCACGGGCAGCGTCTGCTCCTTCCTGGCTGTCCTGGTCCATCTGGGCTCCTGCCTTCAAGACCCCGATGCCCTGGAAGACCACCTGAGTTCCTACCTGCCGGTCATCCTACCCTGGGCCATGGGGCAACACTTTAATGCCAGGGTGTACGCACAGACGGCACTCCACTTAGCGTCTCAGTGGAGTGAGAAATTTGGGCTCGGCTCAGTCTTGGAGAAATACGGGCCACTTTTCTCGTGCCTACGACGTGGCGTGCAGATGGGGTGAGCCATTCAGACTGCTTGGGGATTTCGAGAACCTTTTGCGAAGGGACAATATGTCCCAAAGGTACCTAGAACTAGGGACACACTTCATAGTCATAGGGGTTGTGTCCTTAGGGTTGGGACGCAATTTGTAGTCTTAGGCAATGTGTCCCTAAAATTGAGGCACAATTCTTGGTCCTAGAAAATGTGCCCTTGAGTTGAGACAATTCCTTGCCCTAGGGAATATGTTTCTAGATGTCCTTAGGATTGGGACACAGTTCTTAGTCCCAGGGAATTCACTCCTAAGATATGCACACAATTTCTAGTCCCAGAGAATGTGTCCCTAGGATTGGGACACTATTCTTTCTTCAAATAAATGTGTTCCTTGTCTTAGGGAGTCTGTTCCTGAGATTGGAACATAACTCCTAGTCTCAGGAAATCGGTCCTTAGGGTTGGAACGCAACTCCTATTAGTAGGAAATGTGTCTATGGAATTGAAATACATTTCCTTGTTCTAGGGATTGTGTCTGTAGGATTGGGGATATCATTTCTAGTTTTCGGGACTAGGGCTAGGGAATGTGATGCTTCTGCTTTTTGTGGTAACATAAACATTGGCAAGCAGATAAGGATGGCATCTGCCTCCAAGGTGGTTATAAGTACTAGGAGGAGGCACGTTGCAATATTGGTGAAGCCTAGTCATAAAAAGTTTAAACGATGTTGTGGCCAACGTGACTGTAGATCTCTCTGGCACTTGGTGCGTGTGACATGTCACATGTGAGATGAATGGTTGATTGTAGAAAGATTCCTTGCAGGCTTGCGCGCGCTCCGTCCGGTAGGTTTTATTAGATCGAAGGCTAGACTGTGGTGTATTCTAGTACCCCATAGATAGACGAAGGCTAGCTACGGTCACGTGATGTGGTCACGTTGGCATGGTAAGTGAGGAGAGTAAGGAGCAAAATGAGAAAGAGGCGAGGCGTCAAGGGAGCATGGCTCGTGGAGGCTACGCGGCTGGCGTCATGCCCTCTCCTACTTTTCTATCCTCCTTGTCTGCCTCAGACCGTGGGGGTAGTTTACATCGGAAGGTTCCTATTCTCTTGCCAAATTGATGCAGAACAACTTACCGTAATATCCTGAGAGATAGCCCATCTAAAATTGACAGCAAATCGGATGAAAATAAGGTAAAGCTAACTTTTGGTGCACCATAAAAAAAAGTTGAGAAAATGGTAGTCTTAGATTTTGTGACCCTCAAAACTAGTGATCGCAGGAACCAAAGATGACTGTCCTTTCTAGTAAGCAATGTTCGCTTATCTCATCCTGTGGTTAACACCGTCCTTGCGGAGGTCATTTTTGGCCAGGGACCTTGAATTACTAGAAGTGGGACGCCTTTTGGTGTTTCAGAAAATATAGTAAATCATGCCAAAAATAAGATTGGACTATCTCTTGGGATATTACGGTATGTTCTCTGTTAATGTGGGTGGGAGAAAATAAGATTTGTGGCTTTTGTAGTTATATGTGCCCTTTTCTGTAGAGACTTTGATAAGGTGATTGTTACATCGGATGGCAAACATATTTGGTGACCACTTGGAAGATTTCATCAAAGTTTTTAAAACAATGATTAAAAGTTTGTTTTAAAACTTCGAAACTTCAAAAAGCAAAGTATGAAAGTTTGTCAGTCAAAGCAAAAGTAAGTTACTCGCCTGTCATCTTGGGATCACCTGTTGATCCCCTTTTTATATTGGCCATGTTTGAGAGCCTGATTGTAGCCAGTTGTAACATGATCAGTCACTTTCAATGACTGGACATTTGTAGTCTGTCAATCTAAAATTGTACAGGCTTTCTTTGCTTAAATGTAATGTAATTTGAGTACTGTGGCATCGTCTTTCAGCTTGTAGCTCACATTCCCTGTCATGCTCTTTTCCCAGAAACTGGTCAAGAAATGTGGAGAAGCTTTTAACTGACTTCTACTTCAAGGACTTCAAAGCATGCAGCCACTTCACATTGCAGGTAGGCTGTACCCAAAATGTTTTAATCCAAAGCATATTCATGTACTTGCAAGGGTGAGAGCCTTACCATACATGGCCATTCACACTTAGATTTATATGACACAATGATATAAAGTGTTTTGCTTTATTTTTCTAAACATTTTATTTTCAGAGTGTGTTTAAAGGGGCACTAAAGTGGATCTAAGATCCTCTTTTTATGGTGCAAACTCAATCCATCCGCCCTAAGTATAATAGGAAACCGAAAATTAATATCGCATGTGGCCCTTTTCACCCCTAAAAACTTGACTGGACATCACGACATGCCCGGTGTGTTGCGGTGTTTGGTCGCTTTTCATCTCAATAGACCCTTCTAAAAAGTGTGCGCCCTCGAGTAACTGCTGCGCCAATCATCTGAGGCCGCCACATCTTGGACGTGCGCTTTGAACAAGCATTGGACACTACTACTACATCAGCATTAGGCACGGGCCAAATGAATTGGACTTGAGTGCTGCATCAGCGCTCAGCGTGAACTTAGATCCAATCACACGTCTCACGCATGGAGCAATGCCCAAAGTATGGCAGCCGCCAGTTTGCTTCATGGACTTTTGAGAAGGGTCTATTATGGTGCAGTCCTCCTGAAGAACACAGGCACAAACTATGTATTGCAAACTGCCTAACATATTGAAGGACTAAAGAATATTTCATTTCTTTATTTTTATTATCATACTAAGTCTGCGTGTAGTTAGGCTTTTGCCTTTGAACCTTCATTCCCGCCTTTGTTCTTTATTTATTCAACATTATGGTTTTATTTTATTTTTTTGATGGCTTCATGATGGCTTCAAAGTACTTCACGATCGGTTAAAAGTCGAACAGCTTCATGATGGTTTCAAATGATGGCTTTATTTTTTATTTTCTCTTTTCTCTGCGTGTCTCTCACGTGGGAAGACCATCTTTTGGGACCTGCCAAGGCTGACCGGCCTCACGGATCGAGAGCTCGTGCCAGTTTCCGTCTTCGACGGCGTGCTTTCAGGCGCTGTGGGAAAAGTGGCCGTACCCCTGCACAACGGGGATGACTCGTTATCTGCGTCGCAGCCAAGCTACTGGCTCGAAGGTGTGTAGCCTCAAACTGGACAGTCTGCCAATCTAAACATTTTCTAGTTATTGACAGGACAAGAATGGCTACCGACAATCAGTTGTGCTGCTCTAGCTTGAGTCTTTTTGACTTCGATAACACTTTGGCATCTTGGGAACTTCGAGCGTGTTCACGCTCATAAATCTCGATAGAAGACAGCGAGCACATGCTAAGGGCTGGCCATTTGAAAGAGACGGCCTGCTGTTATCACTTTATGGTGATGCGAAGTATAGTCTCTTGTGTCTTGGGGACTTGTATAATGCATGGTATATGTTTCTGGATAAGGATAATCAAAATGTTTGTGTTTGTATCACATGACCAATCCTGTGTGCCGTAACATGTCCTCGTTACTCGCAGGATATGACTGGCTGATCGCCAGTGATAGCTCAAGAAATCATTTGTTGCCTGGTTGTCAGCCAGTCGGTAAAAAAAAATGAGACGTAAAAAGGAGCAAGAATTATGAGGGTGGCCTCTTCAGTTCAGTTAAGTTTGGTAAACCTCAAAGGCATGTTATTGAGGTGCATTACATAAGGGAAGGTTGCCAAATATTAGTTTGGTTAACTATGAAAAAGAGACATACCGTATTTACTCGCATAACGAATACACTTTTTTTTCTGAAAAATTAACACATATTTGGGGGGGGGGGGGGGGGGGGTCATTACACGGGGTAAAATTTTCGCATTTACACACTTGGTGCAAATGTCATATTAGGTGTCAATATGACACGGCAAGTTACTGTGGCGCGTCTCCAGTGATGGAGGCGCACCCACAGCTGGTCTGGGGCGCGCCACAATAACCATGCTTTATAAATTGCAAACCTTTTTAGGGCGCTTTCGGGGTGCTTTTTGCTAAAGGAAAAGCGCCCTACGAAGCTCACTCAGCACGTAAAGCAACACGACCCTTCTTAGGCGATGCATATTGCTCGTATCCGGTGGGCACGCACAGGTATAATCCGCGAGACTATGCCCCCTGACCGCCGAAGCCCGCTCACAGGAATCAAGTTTCGTTCACGGAGACAAGAACTCGTACGAAGTCCAACCGCCGACCCCCGAAGCCCGCTTGCACGAATCAAGTTTCGTTCATGGAGAAACTACCAGACACTCTCAGCCTACAGCACAGCGTGCACCTCGCTGCACCATTCTGTTGTGGATTAAATAAACACATTTACCCGGAGTATGTGAAATTAGGCCTAACCACTTCCACGATTTTACTGTCTGAAAGCGGACCACAGACAGCGGCTTGTTGACATCAATGCATCCGGTAGGCAAAGAATGTCTGGGGCTCGGTAATTCCTCAACCCAAGCTTCGTCAAGTGTGCGCGACACTCGGTTTCACGGTTGATCACTTTTGTAACTATGCACTTGCGGCCATTACGAGAGCAGCCTGATTTGGCTTGACTTGACTTGGCCTGACTACTTGGTGGCATAAGAAAACTGGTTTGGTAACTTGCTAAATTGGACGCAATTCGAGACTCGCGGATCCGAAAATCGGAGGTGCATTGATTACAGGAGGGAAAAAAAAAAGGTCAGAATATTGATGCCCGTTGTGAGGGGTGCGTTTATTATGCGAGTGCGTTTATTATGCAAGTAATTACAGTACTGCCACACATGTGGCGGAGTGGCGAAGGAGTGGGGTTCGAACCCTGCTCGGCTCGAATATAGAGCTGCATATTAAGAGAGTTTGGCCATTTATTGGGAAGCATAGGAGGCAAATGAGCAAGCGCCATTGGCCGAAAGCGGGCTGAGCATGTTCCAGTGAGACTTAACAAATTTGAATCTGGTCAACCAAAAGCCGCAAATAATACACTGGCGGTGGTCACGAGAAATAAAACTAATAAGTGGGTCAGAGGAACTCTCGGTGACTGAAAATGCAATGCACATAATGTTTCGATTACGGTCATGGAAAACCGTGGGGGAAGATACATAAAGATATAAAAGATATAAAGACCGTGCTCAGCTAGCAGAGATTGACGTAATCCAAACGCCAGGTGCCGAGGTTCGGGCATTTGTTGTTTGAGTGGTCAGGCTCCGTCCAAGCAAAAGAGTTTGATCAGCACGTTCGTTTCTCACATCTTTTTTGCATCTTTTGCGACGTGAAGGTTTCATGTCGCAAATAATTGAACTCATTACGCTTTGTGTGACGACGCGTTTGAGAGTTTTCTGTCCCGCTCTTTCTTGTTGCAGCTGGTGACAAAGAGGCGGGGGTCTCGGTGGATTGCGAGGACGACTACCAGAGGAAGATCACGCCGTGGAAACAGATGCTGGCCGGCTGCGACCTTCCCTGCGACGACGACCTCGGGCCAGCCAAGAAGACGGCATGCCGGGACGGATTGGTCGTGGTGGCGTCACTTATCGACCGCATTCCGAACCTCGGAGGTACGCGGAAGTGGAATCGTAGCCAACCGCCACCAGGAAGAAACTGGAATGACTGGCACAGTAACCCTGGAGCCAGACGGACAAGGAACGGGCAAACGTAAAATTCTACATTTTGCGTTCGTCTGCACATCTTTCCCTCTCTCTCGAGGGTTACCATACTCCGTTTGACACTAAGTCTAACCGTAGCTGACGCCGCAATCCGACGGAGACAATCAAGTGGCGCTAGAAGTGAGTCATCGTGGCTCTTGTCGTCTTTGTACATTTGCTGTTGCCAGCCAAACCAATTGCGCTTGGCGACCGCGGCGCGATTCTGCGCTTCTTGTGCGCGTTGTCGGTTTGGCCGCTAATGGAAAACGCCGAAAGTCGACGAGCACCATGGCTAGACGCTTTTGGCGCAGCTCGATCGGCTCCGTCCAGTTGTAGCGTTGGCTGCGGCCGGACCTGACGCGAAACGGTGCATGGGTCGGTCTTAGATCAGCTCACCTGAAAAGGCATTAGTATGCCTTTTCAGCGAGATTTCCTAAAGGCCGACCGGCCGAATTTTTGTCAAGTCCGAAACTCTTTTCCTTTCTCTCTTCGCATCTTTTAATGGGAGGAGTGAGTTGTCCGTTAAGTTACTAACCTTGTGGGACGGTATAACTAGGGTTCCGCGATTAAGGTATACACAGTATATACTGATAAACTTTGAAAAATAATCCCCGAGCCAGATTTATTGAAGCGAGGGGAAAACCAAAAAACCCTGAGTCGGAGCTGCTCTAGGCTATGGTCGGCAACAGGTTAAGAATTCAGTAGGTGCTCCTTCTCCGGCACAAGCTTTCTGCCTGCGATCACACTTCTACGGAGCTTGTACGGAATTCTTAGCCTATCGTTGACCATAGAGTATGAGAGGATATGTAAATGGAAGTGCCATCAAGGAGAAAAACTTTCCCGTAGCATAAGGTATTGTAACTGAAGGAGAAATAATTGATGATGCAGCTTTACTGAAGCTATAAAATGCATTGAATGATGCAAAAGAAGTAGTCCAATTGCTTGTGTAAGAGGCATGTATGCTGACCTTTCCAAAATAGTCTGTTTTCTTTTTATTTTGAACCAGTTTCTCGATGCAGGTGATTCAATTCTATCCTAAATACATTAATTCTACAAATTTTAGATAGAGGATTGTATTCATTTTAATCTTAATGCTTTTTTTTAATATAATATTTCTATCTATATTTACGCTTTACTCCGATGCTGAGACCTACCAGTGAAGTTTGTTTCCTGTGTGCCCTTTAGGTTTTATGTCCTGCACACTTTGAGGTTGATGCCCCGTGCAAAGGGTAGAGTACCCTTTGTGTGTACCCTTCCTTTCTAGTACCCTACCTTTGTACCCTTCTATGAAGTCTATACTGCTTCGTAGAGCTCGATTATTTATTTATTTCCCTACGCTTTTTCTACAGGCCTTTGCAGGACCTGCGAAGTCTTTGGAGTGTCCGAATTTGTCCTTAATTCCCTGAAGCACACCGAGGACCGGCAGTTCCAGGGGCTGAGTGTCTCCGCCGAGAAATGGATCGCTCTGAGCGAGGTGATCCGGTTTTCCCAGTGTTATGCTGACGCAAGCTTAGATACCATCAAATACAGAGCATGCGTCCATTTTGCAAAGAGCCCACACCCTACTCCTGAAAGGTTTCAAATATACACTCCGTGCGGGAACTATAGGGGGCGCTTTGAGAAACGCGCGCAGCGCCGCTAGCGGAGGGGCTGGCGTTCGACCGTGAGGCACGTTCAGCAGCCTGCGGCGCCTTTTCGCATGCCAAGCTGTGACGGCGGAAGCGCGCACGGACGAAACTTTTGCTTGTTGAGCCGATACGTTAAGGGTGACGTTGCATGAATGCTGGGGCAGACCTAAGAAGGGCATTTAGCTGTTCTCCTCTTCTTATATATTGAGTTTAAGCCGTTATTCGGGGGAATTCCTCTAGTTGCGGCCAAAAAAGGAGTTGGAGCAATTTTCCGAAAAGCAAGACGGCCGCCACCATAATTGCTTTGAGTGGGAAATTTATTTCGCTCGTCGCTGTAAACGTAGGACTGCTGGAACGATGATATTGGAGGCGAGTGAGATGTCCACTAAGTTTCTGCACGAAGTGTCCCAAGTTTCATTAAGACGGCAGGTGTGAAAGTTGTTTCTAACAAATAAAGAAATAAAGCTGTACGGTATATCCAATATTGGACCCAAAATGTTGTGTTATAGTGGACTGCGCAAAGTGCAGATTTGGGCATACAGGTGCTTAGACTTGACAGTAACATAATACGGCACTTATTATACAAAAAAAAAAAAAAGTGGCATAGGGAAGCCAAGTGAAAATTTGGTTTGGGCGGCGTAACTCAATGGGAACCGGTTTTGACCGTGAAAAGGCTGTCAAGAGAATACCACTGGTCGGTGGAGGTGGAGACTTTAGAGGTAGGAAGGGACTAGTGGACTGTACTTCCAATTGGAACAACTTTACGAAAGGTGGTTCCAAAGCCGAGAAAACGAAGTTGTCGGCCAACACACGGTTTGGCCGGCAAGGGCTTTTGCGGTCAGCTGTTCTGTAGTAACCTGTTGTGCTAGGTGCTGATTTTCGGCCCACGGGTACTTTGACATGACCGTCACTTGGCACAACACTTATTATAAAAAAATAGTTGGCATAGCGAAACCAGGTGGAAATTTAGTTTCGGTGGCGTAACTAAATGGGAACTGGCTTTGACCGTCAAAGGCTGTCAGAAAATACCACTCATCGTGGGAGGTGCACACTTTACAGGTAGGAAGGGACCAGTGGACGGTACTTCCAGTTCGAACCACTTTGCGATAGGTGGCTCTAAAGCCGAGAAAAAAAAATGGTTGTCTACAGAACTCGGGGTGTCAGTGTTTCCGCATCCAAAAGTAGGCTGATCAAGTAAGAAAGCACACCACATAAACTTCCATACTCAAACGCCGATTCTCCAGTGATTCCGAGTTTCATGGTTGTTTTCTTTAGATTTATATTTGTCACTTTTTTTACCGTTCAAATCTTTCTTAATGAAGTACAGATTGCGTGCCATATTTGTCCGGAAATATCATCGACACGTACGATGGGGACGAAATCTCTTTGGAGGGCATTCCTCCAACGAAATTGGCACTGCATACCCGTGAGTGTGGAATGGCATTTCAGTTCGTCCCATCGGCGCTGACACATGTAGGCGTTACTGGTACGAAAACAAACGCAGAGCGCAAAGCGGCAGTGTAGAATATGTCAGCCGTGCCGACACAGTGGCAGATATGATCGGGACACCAAATTTCTCGCATGGTAGGGCACGGCTCCATCGTTGTCGCTGTCCCACAAAACATCGGCGAGGTGAAAAATTGTGAAACTTTGTCTCCACGAGATACGACGTATAACTATTGAAGCACTTAATGACGCAGCACAGGCAGCACTTCATGCTGTGAACCCAGCGCAACAGCACCACTCCGACTTCAACGCGTACCAACGTACGCGGCGTGGTTTCGGTTTCGTTTTCTCTGGGGTGCTCACTGCCTACCTTCGGTACCGGCCGCGCGGCGGCGCGCCAGTCGCGTCGCACGGAGTGTATAGGCGAAGGACATACCAAGCACCCAACGCCGCAAACTTCCTAGCCCAAGAAGCACGCTGGTGCAAGGCAGTGGAACGTAATGCGCATATTTGTCGGTGCATAGCAGTAAAACTAGACGTGCAAGCTTCTGCGCAAGTGGGCTTGACGAGAGCGCTAGCAATATAGGAGCAGTACAGGGGTTCCGACGGGCCTCTATACTGCTTCCATACCGTTCCATCGCACCAAACAAGAGCGTACCCTGCCGCGTGCCTGTTCCGCTCTTCTGCTCTTGGATTTCTGCTCCCATTTTGTTTAGGATTATCGTCAACTTTCGAGTGGGCACTTGCTCAGTATTTTAGGGCAATGTGTTTTGCGCAGAGGGCTTTTTGTGTAGAGTGGGCATACAGTTCAGAGCAGTTTTTGATGACAGCAGAGTCACAGAACTGCCGGTATTGCCTTTTTACTACCCATGAGGTCCTCTACATGCTTCCATTCTTCCAAGAAAATTGAAGTGCTCGACTAGACTCTGTAGTTTGCCTTTAAGGCCCGTTCACATATACTTGCGTTTGATTACAACCGACTGAGACAAGATTGTCTTTGAATCCTCTTGTGACGGCTTATGACCATGACGGCTTGTGACGGCTTATGACGCTGACCTCGCTGTCTCAATGCCGTTTACGACCGGATGCGCTGCTGCACAGCGCAGCAGCGCATCCGGTCGTAAACGGTTGCAAGAGGCTTAAAAAACCATTCTTGTCTCACTCGGTTGTATACTCAGTTGCAAGTAAATGTGAACGGACCTTTAGTGTCGGAGGAAGTAAAGGTTTTCTAATTATAACCCAAGAAAGAAAGACTGCTCAGGAAAGGCAAGACACCTGTAGAAAAATTTTATTAATCTAGCAGCTAAATCTTTTTTCTTTAATTAAAGGTCAACTCCGGTCAGAAACTAAATTGAAATAAATGACTGGTATTGCTTTAGTTGCACGAAATATGATCACAGCCGAAATGTTACGTCAGTGTGAAGCTGCGTACTCCACTCACACCGATTTTAAAGATGCGACCAGCTACTCTCTAGCGGGTGGCAAAAGGGTTAGCTTTTAGTCAAACAACACTGGGTGGCGCGTACCGCAGCACCCCTGTGACGTCACATTGCGGTAGTGTTGCGGTTGATTTCGCACGTTGTATCGCGTATTCATGGTGAAAACGCATCATGGTTGTACAGCTGATGACCAGTGTTGCCATCCCTTTCTAGCAGATAGTTTCGGCTTTGCCGTAGACGTCCAAAACCAAACTTTGAGCCGTGATATTTCATACACTGTAGAACTATAGAAAACTTCATACAATATAGAAAAACAAGAAAGAAGAACAGAAACTTGTATTTTAGGGACACTGACTGAGCTGAAAACAGTCATAATTCCAAATTCGAAAATATTCACCAAAGTTGCCCTTTAAGTTAATTTTTAATTCTCTGTGCCAAAAAAAATCTGCTCCCTGGTCCTTATTGCTTCTTGAAATTTTAAAAAGGTTTAAACGAATTTCGTAATGGCGTTTCGATGTTCGTGCAGCCACTGCCTGTCGACAAAAAAAAAATATTTGCCCTCTCCTGCCCCGTCTTACCTATTGTCATTTGACCATCCTCTGCAGGTGAAGCCTCACCAACTCAAGGAGTACCTGGAGGAGAAGCGGAATGCAGGCTACACGCTGGTCGGTGCCGAGCAGACGGCCGGAAGCAAAGCTCTTCACGAATACCGGTTTCCCAAAAAGACACTCCTGCTGCTGGGGTAAGTATACTTAAAGGGATGCTGGACCGAAATATGGAGCTCACAAAAACAAGGATGGAGCAATAGGCGGGACGCTGCAAGACCCCAAAACATCGCTCATTCAGCGATATCTGCAACGATTGGCCATACTTTTGGAAAAGAAGTGCTCTATTAAACATGGCCGACGAGACATGTCACGTCACGATTCTCACTCCCTCTCCTCTTCGCTTCGTCCCCTCAAGCAGGTGAACTGAAGCAAGGAGGAAGGAAGCGAGGCTGCTTCCCCTCATTCTCAACCGTTCCAGAAAAATCGTGACGTCATAGTCCTCGTTGGATCAAGCCCTTCTTTTCCAGAAATACAGCCATCCGTTTCAGATATCTATGTATGAGTGATGTTTTGGAGTTCGTAGCATCCCATTCAATGCTTCTGAGGCCTTATTTTGCGAAATCCGAATTAGGTTCACTATTCCTTTAACGTTTGTTGCACGACATGTTTTTATAAAGAAGACAATCCTTACTGTACGGTATACTAGATAGAGGAGATCGCTCTAAAAGGAGCAGGTATTATCTGTGCCTGCACGTAACATGCATAAACTTTGGCCAAAAGTGTATTTTAGTGGTTGTTCTTAAGGTGAAATGTCAGGGCCGATGTTACCGAAACAGCTCGATTGGCAGACTTCCTTACAAGCCTGCTTCGGGAGGCCGGCTCCATCCCATACCTCAGTGCCAAGCTCGACGAGATCGTCGCATCGCCATTTGTACCACAGTGGCCACTCTGAAAACTGCATGTACTGGAGCGGAGAACACAAAACAAGAATCCCGTCTCTGTTTGCACAATGAACTGTCGCTGACCGTTGTCTCAATACAGATCATGTGCCGCTAACTAACCAACGAACTACAAACAATCTAGCAGAACTCTCGGTCAATTCTGTCACCTGTGTCAGAAGCCGCCATCGAAAATGTCAGGGGCGTTTTAACTTTCCACGAAAACAGAGCCACAACTTGAAATTTTTCGAGGTAAAATACATCACGCAATTGTTACTACTTCTATGAAAATTTGAGCTCGCTACGTGCGTGCACCGATTTTTGCAGCCCACTGTAGAGCAAGCTCTTTAATTTTGGACACCATTCAAGTATTTCGTTTTAGCATAGCTTCTCACAAATGTAGATTCCCTTTGAAAACTGAACGCCCTCTGGGCAGAATTGCAGTTATTTTCAGTTTTGAAACAGACGCCCCGTTTCGAGTGACATTCGCAGAGTTGGTCGAATAGTGACATATTCTGTTATGCAGAGCTCCTCGTCCTGGTTCATCTTGCAAAGTTCCTTAACCTGACAGAGTATCTAAAACTCGGGAAGTTGCATTTTCAAATCGCAACAATTGCCAGTTGCGCTAAAATGACCGAGTGCCGAAATGGCGACACCCACGAAAAGGTAGGAAACTGGAGTACATATTCCTTAAAGGGGAACTAAAGAGAATTCTGCTATCGTCTGTTCTTGGTCATAACTGATTCTACGGGTCCTAAGCATCCTAAAAATTAAAAATTACAATCGTGCCACGTCACTTTCCCTATTAAAAACGTGATGAAAGGTCGGGACACACCCCTTTCTCAGAGGATTTTTTCACTGTGGAAAGTCGGGCCATACCACAGTAGTGGAGTCAGCATGGTGACGATGTGCGCTGGTCGGCCAATCGCGAGCCGCCTTTCCAAGCGAGACAGCTTGCGATTGGCCATTGAGCGCCCATAGTTACCATGCTGACACCGCTGCTGAAGTATGCCCCACCTTTCCCGAGCAGAAAATTCCGATCAATATGTGGGGTGTCCCGACCCTTCATCACGTTTTTAGTAGGGAAATCGGCATCGCATGATTATAATTTTTGGATTTTTAGGATGCCTATGGCCCGTAGAGTCAGTTATGACCAAGAACAGACAATCGCAGAATCCTCTCTAGTGCCCCTTTAACTTTGTACACTTTGTGCTTTTCACTTTTTCCCGCCTCTTTTTTTTTTATATCCCCTCCACCTTTTACTTTGCCCCAACTTGGCTCCCCAAGCAGCTTAGGGAGAGAAGAGTGCTAAGGGGATTATCTTCCCTGCGGAAAACTGAGGTTGTATGTCGGTCTTTAAGCATAGCTTATTTAGTAGGCAAAGCAACAATGACCTCTGTCTCTGCTGGGTGCTGAATCTATTATCTATGTTCATTTCGGTTACTGGCGTGGAGTCGGTCTAATTTCGTTTTTCTCGGCAGGAACGAAAAGGAGGGCCTTCCCGTCGAACTGATTCAGCTGCTGGACGTGTGCGTCGAGATCCCCCAACGCGGAGTGATACGCTCGCTCAATGTCCACGTGAGCGGAGCCATCTTGATCTGGGAGTACGCCAAGCAGCATCTCACTTGAGTTTGTGACCCGCTCGTTAAGCTCGTTCAAGGTATTGAAATCCAGCAATATTTGGAGCTGAGCTCTTGCAGGTGACAGTTTGCTAGACGCTAATTTGCAACATTACTTTTACAAGAAATCTGAAAACAGCTAACGTAAGACGACTGCCAGTTCACCGCACGTATTCGTGACTGTCAGTGGAGATGTAAATATTTGTGGTTAAAACATACTATGGTTGCAGACAACTTTCTGTGAGTATGCAGTCAAAGGTATAAGGGCACATGCTCGAATGCCAATTAAAGGCGTGCACGCACACTCCTCCTCTCGTCGAAAGTGCCTCGAAAGTTATCCATGGTATGATAGGCAGGAAATCTGCAATTTATAAATGACAACACGTTTCAGAGGCTTCTCTTAAAACCATAAAGTTGCGTTTTTTCATTTATTTTTTACCAAGTTTATTCACTTAATATTAAAGAGGAAATGTGCAAAATTGCTTTTTGCTATTTTTAATGCAGTACGGAACTACTAGATGCTTCCGAATTTATCTTTCGTAGGTAGTGTCATGCCTTGGCAACGGTGTGACTATAGCGTCTCTGTTCCTCTATTTTATTATAAAACTTAAATCTCGGAGATTCCAAATTTTCAACTTTTATTGTTGAGTTAGCAGTGTCACCTTTGTCTTCAGGATGCCAACAAATATAAGAAATTTGTTTCATAATGTAAAGCACTAAAAAATACAAACCCTTTTATCTTTGAATGGCCCCAGGTGTGCATGCCTGTGGCAGAAGGAATTCTTTCGAAAACACTCGGAGAAGTTAACTGCTCCTTCAGATACCCAATACTAAGTATGAACTCGATATAACAGACCCTGATAGTACTGGAGATTTTGGTCTGTTGTAAAACGAGTATGTAGAGTGCAGATACTCTTACTACAGGCTTTGAGGTGGATTATGACTGGAGTCTGTTCTAACCAGTGAGAATCACGAAATGAGAATGGATATTAGAAAAGAACTGGTTTATTGACACTTCCGAATTTTAAAAGGTAGTAGTGATTTTTTATTGTACTATACGGATGATCATCATCGCTGTGTACTTTGGGTCGTACCAGGCTCACTAGGTACAGGGAGCGATGACAACATTTAGCAAAATGGATGCCACCACTACCGAACCAAGGCCGCTTAATGTCCGAAATAACAACTGCTCTCGAAGAGTCCGCTATAATGGAATGGTGAATTACTTACAAACTTCCTAATATACAGTTCGTTATATCCAAATATATGTTATAACAGAGTCTGTAATAAGCAAAATTGGCTCAGTGGCATAGACTGGAAGACCAATTAAACTTAACAAATTATTAATATGTTACAGCCAGATGTTTGCTGTAACTAAATCTGTTGTAACAAGGTTGAACTTGATACTATCTTGACTGATACATAGTGTAAATATCCCATTGAAACATTGTGCATTCTTTAAATGGTTAGTGAACAAACTTGGTGCCTTTATTCATACGTATTACACTGATAAGACCCCATTCACCTTTTCAGTCATCAGGTATGTGGCGTGGAACAACTCATTGTGCATAAACATGTGATGTTTGACACTGAATGTTACTAAATGCTATTTGTTTCCTTTTTTTCTTTATAAATAAACCAATAAACTGAGGGCACTGAAACTTTTGATGCTGTATCTGCTTTCAAGTATTCATCTCAACAAAGCTTTCACGTTTTCGTCCGGGTTGCACCCTCTGTGAGTGGCAGCATCAACCAGACGTTTTTTTTACCGTTTTCCTTTCTGTGCTGAGGAAAAAAAACAAGATTTTGAGTCTTAATTTTTTTTTTCCTAATATCAATGCTTACGTAATTTTAGTATGAAATATGCAGCACCGAAAAGCACCTTTGTGAAAAAAGATTGATTGAACTCAGTTTATGTGAGTATCTCTATGTCCAAATAGCACTCAGGAATTTGAGATGTGAATTTGATGAGAAATTAGAATTCGATGGGCACCTTCATAATGTGTTGACTAAAAAAAGGTGTACAAAATTAGTTCATGGGAGGTCAAGACGGCGAGCTATCGTTTCCTCAAAGTGTCGTAAATGGTAATTTTTTATATGGTCAATTTTGTGTAGGCATTTTTATGTGTTCCTTTTTCTATGCAGGTACATGATTAAATATGTACATGTCCTTTAGTCTCTAAGTGACACTTTTTGCTTTGTGATGGAAAGCAAGTATATTACTAACCTCCTTCTTGTAATAGATACTGGCCATACATTAATTTTGTAAAATTAAAAAAAAAAAAAGAAAAACGTCTTGAATACGAAGCAGAAAGCTGGGAGCGTAGGACATTTAATAGATAGAAAATTACTTGGTCCGAAATCTTAGTTGCTGAGTGTCACCATGTTTCATCTCCTTTCAAGACCTACCGCAGGCTCTTTGAAAACTTTTATCACACACAGCTAGAGTGGAAAATGCCAAACGCATCCTTCTGTAATAGAATGTGGTGTGATCAGGTTTAATATACAAATGATAATTATGACCTGTACAATGTGTGATCAATTGCTAAGCCACAACAGTGGTTGCACTGAACCTCTTTCTGTGCAAAAGGCAACGCTATAGATTGTCCCAGACACGTGCATATTTTGACCCTTTATAAGCAGTAAAAGGAACAGCCTATCTTTGCTCAGCCACAAGAAGTAGACCTGAGACATCTTGGGTGATTTTCCTCCTCATGTGGCACTGGGGCAGGAACAGATGTCAGTGCCTCCGACTGTAATGACTCATTCCAGGCACGTAGCCAGGGGGGGGGGGGGAAGCCCATGAGGCCCGCCCCCCCCTCCCCCCCCCCCCCCCCCCCGAAATCTTCCATTTTGCTGGGACCTCCTCTCCCCTCCCCCTCATACAGCATTTTGTCATGGGCAAGCCCCCCCCCAAAACAAAATCCTGGCTACGTGCCTGGCTCATTCTCTGCTGAGAATGATGAGTTTAATGATACAAAGTTAACACGGAAATTGGCTTTTAGTGAACGTTCAGCAGCATCGCTATAAAACTGGTTCACAGTATGCAATAGCTCAGAGTTTCAAAAGGGCAAGAACTGAGTTTTAGGTTTTCTAAGAAAGGTGTCTACCAATCACACTGTCGCGAGTTGAAAATTATTACATAGGCGTTCACAGACTACTGCTTGTGAATTGTAATGTCATGGAGAAAGATAATCCTACATAGGCTATGACACAAAGTTTTCTGCCAATTGTATCATGTCGCAAGGAGAAAGAATCTTCTCTAGAATACTGTAGTAGTACAAGGTTTTTTTCCACTCCTAGAGTATCACAAGAGGAGTTAATCCTGCATGGATCTTTGCACAAAGCTATCTGCCAATCATACGGTTTCACAAGGTGACAATCTGGCATAGAATTTTAACCAGCGTCTTGATTGAAGTGTTACATGGGCAGCTTACCTTGCTTACACTGTGGTGGAAACCTTAGTGCCAACCATAAAGTGTAGGGAGCCTTCATGCATATTTGTCTGTTTAACATGGTGAGATCTGGATATTTTACTCCTAGATTGATTCACGTCTTTTCCTAGGATGCAAGTTCACTGGCAGTTTTCAGTGAGAGCTTGTATCTTTGGTTAGTGCTTTGGCATTTCTGTTTCTCAATTTGTTTTGGGTGTGTATATCGGCACACCCTGGTACGATAGACAGTTGCCACTGTATATTCGGTGACAGGTTAACATCCCAGTGGGTGCTCCACCTTCACCATGCGCTCGTAACCTTCTGCCAGGCTTTGGATGCTTGCGTGACAAAGTGCCATCAAACGCAGAACTCGCACTCGAGACAGAGCTCCTACTTTGTTCTTAACTTGTCGCCGAGCATAGATCGGGTAGACGGAACGATAGCGCAAAATCGCTCCCTAACAAAGGTTGACTACAGCTATGCCTTTGGTGATGCCTCTCCCCTTGAGGCTGGGACAGTCCAGTTTGCACATCTATTGAAGTCATCTTCTGGAGACTGGGCATGGGTACTTGCGACGACAGAGGTGCTGATGCCTGCTGCCTATCCTGGCAGCGGTGCGAACCGATTCCACCATCCGGTCGTATGCAGAGTTGTAGGGCAACAACCTGCAAGAAGTCCCACATTCGCGTTTAGGAAAGAGTATAAAAAGTTGGGCAAAGCTACATGTTCTTGATTACAAAGTTTAGCTTTGTTTGCCATTGCAGCGTTAGTTGCATGCTCCTAGTGGCAAGCTAAAATAGTGTGGCAGATTGTCTTTTTTTTTTTTTTAAGGCACTACTGCAATTTTTTTAAGTACGACCAATAAGTGAGCATCGTACAGGAAATGCTGCAATAGTACTGACCAGAGCTACGAATTTTCGTAATGTAATGTAAGAATGTTCTGAATGCCATTATTCTGCTACAGATGTGTAAAGAGACTGCAAAGTAGAAGCTGGAGCTCCCAGCAGTGCCACGAATGAGTGCAAATGTTATCCAGGTGTCATCGATGTTGTTGCCTCGGTCACGGCAGCAGAAAGTCAGTCCCCCAGTCGCATTGTTTTCATTCACGAGGAAACGGCGGTTGAGAACCTCAGTGTGGCAATGACTCTTCATGACACGGCCACTATGGTTATCTATGGGACGAGAACGGCGGGGTGTCTCTTTCTTGTGCCCGGCCTCCACCCCGCTCGAAGCTCGGGAGGGGCCGAAGTGTTATCGAAGGCAGGAAGCTTGAGGTGGAGGCGAGACAACCGAAACTTTTTCCCGTCGTTTTCGTACTGCGAGTGAGTGTAGCAGCACTCTCGGTGCCACTACGTTCCATTTTACATTACGACGGACCATAGAGGATTGCACAAGCCATCGAAATCAGTCCAATTCGACGTGCGCGTCACGTGACGTTCAGGAGGGGCACGGTGATGCGCGGAGCGTGTAGTCACGCGACGCATTCATGGTGCAGGGTTGACTGGGGTGGCTCACAGCGTCCGCTGCAATCCATTTTGAGATGCAACTCCTTTCATTTTAAACTCGAAGGCCGACGAGCAGCCAGAAAGAAGGCCCTCGATTCCTCCTTTCGATTCGAGAAAGAGAAAGATGCTCCTCCTTTTTAAGGGGAGTAGGTCAGAGACCAACTCCTGTGGGGAGAGGAAGAGAGGAGAGAAGGAAATTGGAAGCCGGTTTTCTGTCCGGCAGAAGAGGATTTTGTAGGAGTACGGAAACGGTGATCTTGACGGTGTAGAACGCACGCTGCAGAAGTACTGTGGCAGCTCTAACACAACGTAGTTAACTCGTTCGCGTTCTGCACCAAGTCACATTCAGGACTAAGTAACTACACGAGCGAGCCATACCACTGCGAACTGGCACATTCCAACGGAGCTTCACAGTCCAGCAACAGGTGCAATTTCGGAATATTTTAATTCGATGTAAAATTAGTTTTTATTACTTTCCTCTTGCCAGGCCAGAAACGCTAGTCTAGGCCTGTGTCTCTGGGCTGTTGGCACAACATAGACCACACCTAAACAAAGAAATAAGTGCAAACATTTTGTTTCCGTAAGGGTAAACGGAATATATACTCTGGTCGCCATTAAGCTGACAATCCAGTGAGAGCTACGCATTCATCCGACCAATCAGCAGCCTCCCATTCAAGGCCCGACCCCACACTCTGCGCTTGGGCATGGGTTGGAGGGTGATCACCTGGCGAAAGGCAGGCGTGTGACTGGATCAACAAGCATGCAGCTTCTACCGCGCTGTCAGCTTGGGCATGAACGGAGCACAGTGGTACTCACACTGGTGCCCTGCGTAGCACGTAAAGCAGCATCTCCTTTCCGCTGGCGTACATCCGGGCTGTGCCGGGGTCTTCGCAAGCCAGTCGTCGTAAGCAGGCATCGTCGCCCGTGTTCAAGGCCGCCAGGTATGTGGTGAGCCACCTGTGAAGGCCCCTCTCTTTAGTGCTGTCGTTCTGATGACTGGCCGGTTTCAGTGATGTGATTGGTCTTAAGGGCAGCAAAAGGAACTTTTGCACCACAAGGACATATTTTATCCTTGTTCTCATCTCGTTAAAACTCCGTCTGGTTCCCTGTGTGACACATCATGTTCCAAGACCCTATTGGCTACTGCAATTCTTTTTTTTTAGCTATTTTTGAGACTTAGGACCCCCCTTTGTTTAACGTCTAGCAAGTTTTGTGCAAACAAATTATTAATTACGAAGTCAATTAATTCCTTGTTTTTTTCGCCAAAGGGAGGAACCATCTGGTCTGCGGGAAAATGGGGAAGTTGAGGAGGAAAAGCGACACTAGCGAGATTTATAAAAGCACTTTTTTGTGTGAAACTGTGTCTCTAAGAACAAAACAAAACTGATTGATTTGTGTTTTATGGCATGTGAAGTGTGAAATGAAAGAAAAGGCATTATCTCTTACGTGGACAGGCCAACATTCAATTAAAAAAGAATGTCCATTTTGCTTCCCCATTTGTGTGCAGCCACACATTAGCAGACTACTGCGGAAGAGGGGTGGGGTGGGGGGTAGAGGGGGGGGGGGGGGGGGGCGGCGGCGGCGATTGGTAACCGAGTGGGCCAGAGCACGTTAGCTAAGAGCACGAGGAGCGAAAGCTTGCGCTGCAGAACCCAGAGATCCTGCGTTCAATCCCCTCCCCTGCCCGTTTCGATCTGGATAAGCATCGTATCGGCCTGTGGTCGTGCAGTACAACCGTGACCGAGGCTAGCAGTTATACTGCACCGGCTAAATTTCTTAACTACAGCTGAGAGACAAGTCGCCAGTTGAGGCAGACTAACTTCCGCTTGTAGCCTGGGGCCTTTAACGTGCACCACGTTAAAGCATGCGCGATGCTCATGCAGATCAAAACGTGCATGCGTAAGGACATTGCCTTCTTTAAATCCTGGGTTCTAGAAGCAGCGCGGGCTTTCGCCGAGATACTTTTATGATGATAGAAAGTCGGCACGTGGGTCATAAATAATTCTTCGATAAAAATGTAGCTGAACGCGTTGGAGTTATTTTCAACCTGCCATTTTACCGCTACTGCAGCAAACTTAATTTTAATTAACCATTACATTTATTGGCTGTGTTTCTGTGCTTACGTGGCAAGTAAACGAGGGATTTGAGAACTATTGTATGAGGCTACAGTGCAGCCTAATTAGGCCAAGTCAAAGTTTTGTTGTTTTTTAATCACGAATTTGAAAGAAAAAAATTTGAAATGTTAGGAGCAAGGTAGAGTTGTCCCATCAACATTCACGAAAGTTTTTAATCGCTTTTCTTTTAAATATCGAACGCGCGCGCGAGCACCATCTAGCTTTGAGGGGGTTGTTTTCCCCCGAGCACACGACTGCGCTGCGGCGAAGTAAGAAGCACAGGACCACTCGGTGTCCCCTCCGCGGGTGTCGCTTCTTAGCAGTGCAGCAGTGTAGCAGAGCCCGGTGAGAAGCGCACTCGACGGTGCTCACTAACAAGTCGACATACCGGGGACATACCCACTTGCCGAAACGGACCTCAAACAATGAGAAATGTTGCAGGATTTTCTAATACTTCCATTATTCGATACGAAGATGAAGCAAGCAGGTAGTTTGAGTTTAGAAAACAACTTTATGGGCGGTCGGAACCATTCCTGCTTTTCTAATATCGCAACCGACTGAAACGTCACGGTTAATTCCAAAGCACGAACGAAGACGCGTGCATGGAGAGATGAGAGAGAGAGAGAGACATGGCGGAGTTTGTCTGCTTCTTTGCAGGGGTTGCGAGGATGTCAGAACGCCGAGCTCTTATTGGCCGATTAAAAAAATAATAATAAAAATATTGGGTAGACCCCAAAGCGTCTAGCATTGAGGTACCCACTATCCTTTCAATCAAATCCAATCACGGCTCGGCATCGTTCTGACGTCACCGTAACTCATGTGCTAGAAGCAGACGACTTTCTCTTCGCATAGAGGGCTATCTAACCATCTGTTTCCGATAAACGATCGTTTGAGATCGCCTCCGTCGCCTACTCGTACTTTAGATTGATTAGATTGATTCACCATTTTTCGCACATTAAGTTTATAAGAATTACAGTTCCCCTCGAAAGCTGCACACGGATAGTTTCGATTGTTCAAGAGGTCATGTACGTCATGCGTCCTTGGTCGGCGACCGGCGACAATGGTGGCCCGTGGTCGTCGGCGCGCCCGTAGCCTCCGGCGTAGAGTCCCAGGCCGCTGAACCCCGTGGCGAATCCCAGGGCGACGAGCAGGGCCTTGAGGAAGAGCACCACCATGAAGTTGGATACGTTGAAGGCCAGCACCTGCGAGTTGGTGAAGGTGCGACCGCGGTCCGGCCGGTCCTCCTGGAAGCCGCCGCTGGAGGGCCGCTGGCGGGACAGGCCGGCCGAAGACACGAACCAGGCGGCCATCAGGAGGGCCCGCAGCGGCACGCGCATCTGCAACCAACGCTTTCGCGTGACCTCATCGTGCCATGCTGGTGCTCAATCCTATTGTAGAGAGAAGCAAATTTGGTGGCGCGAAATGCGCACGGGCTGCATGCAAAGCCTCCACGCAGGCATTCGTTCCGCTGTCACGTTGACAATTTTCGCGTGACTTGCCACATTTAGTTCTGACGTAGCCGGGAGGTTGCTTAATTTTATTTCAACAATATATATATATATATATATATATATATATATATATATATATATATATATATATATATATATATATATATATTTTTTTTTTTTTTTTTTTTTTTTTTTTTAAGGGGAGAAGAATTGTACGAGTCCCGTCTTCACCGTGTATTTATCAGGCTCGGAGGACATTAGATGAGATAATCGTGATGCTAAGTTGACTAATTAACTAAAATGTGTTAATTACTGGTTTTAGGGGTCATGTTGGAATTTCGGTATTGATGGCAATTACTATTAGGGGCCAGACCGATATAAATAATTAGCGAAAAGCTAGTGAATCGCTTTTAAAACATTTTCAATCAATTTTCGCTTTTTTTTTTTATTTGGGGAGGGCTTGACGTTAGGCACGTAGCTTTTCCAAGCAATCCTCCCATGTCACTCGCCTCTTTACATGACCATTGAGTGGCGTACGAACTTGTTGAACACCTCCCCCCCCCCCCCCTCGCCCCAGGGCCGGGGGCGGTGCCCTTGGTATCCCTTGGGCGCCGCCGGGCAGTGCCCAGTGGCGGCTGTTTTAGGGGGGGGGGGGGGGGGAAGCAGGCTCTTCCCCCCCCCCCCCCCCCCCCCGGTTGGTACGCCCATGTGGCCATTGAATGGGACATGGTTGCGTCTACGAACTGAGCGGCCCCAGGTTCTACCGTGGTTCTGCTCATGGTCGCGGCAGCTGTCTGCGCCAGCTGCCTTTTACTGGGTCGTGTAACAACAATAAATTCGAGGAATTGTTTTTACACTCCGCTACCATCGTGCAAAGAAATATTAGCGTTCTAACGATATGCGCAACTTTGTTCAGCTTGTTTTGCATCGTTAGAAATGTAAATACTTACGAATTTTTGCAGCGATTATTTCGCGCACGCCCGTGTGAAAGGTTTTATTGATCGCTCACACAACTTCCCAATACGTTTAAGAGTGTTCTTGGTTTGCATCGCAACCAACATTGAACCATGCAGTTGAGCTTGACTGTGTTGTTTTATGAATACGTGACCAACGTTGGACACATATCTGGCACGACTGTCGAAGTCGCCGGATTCAAAGCGAACGAAACTCCACTTCGATGAAGTCCAGTCACTGTTGCAACAGAGGACCGATATCCATCGTTTGAGCAGCTCGGTGGCTCTTGGAAATCCAAGAGAAGCGGTTAGAAGTTCACGCTACTGCGAAGTTCATGACATAATGGACCTTTTTCCAGTAAGAAGTGCCTCATGACGGATTCGCCGCCAACTACAAATGGAGGGCAACCGGACTCGCCTTCTCCCATAGGAACAGATTAGTGTCGCAAGAAAACAGTGCCCCCCCCCAAGAATGGCGAAAGGGCGGTCAAGGGAAAAGGGTGTGCGCGTGCGCAGACGCTTACTGGAAAAAGGTCCATTGGGGAGTTGTAGTAGACCGTTTCCGCAGCCCGCTAAGCACCCTCATAGCGCTCTGTAATCCGCCACAAGACCTTGAATTATGCAGACAAGGCGCCCCCGTCGCCCCCCCCCCCCCCCCCCCCCCCAAGCTAAGTCGACCCCCCTCCCTCCTTCTCGGAGGGCAATTTGACATGGGTAGACCCCCGAACCCCCCCCCCCCCCTCCAAAAAAAAAAAAAAAAAAAAAAAAAAAACCTGCCAGGTGGTAGAAGGCTCGGTACTCAAGGACGAGGGTTCAAAAGAGGGTAGGTCGCACCCTAGCAGGCACACTTGTACTCTGAACTTGGAGAACCACTCCGTCAAATGGGAAAATAGTATCCATAAACATTTTTCCGCCCCCCCCCCCCTTTCCCCTCAAAAAAAAAAAGAAAAAAAAAAAAAAAAAGACGGAGTTCTGGATTTGCCCCTGCTTACGGAGCAGAGAGGTTCCCAAGTATCGCGGGAAGCGCTCGCTCTGCATCGTCGTCGTCGTCGTCGTGGCGTTTCTCAGCTGTAAATGAGCAATGTAGCCAGTGCAGTACAACCGCTAGAGTGGTGCACGATTGCACGCCGGTGCCATAATGTTGCTTTAACCAGGACCTAGTTTCAACAAATAATGTAGCTGATATTCGCATTATCCGGACAAAACAAACGCTGGCTTATTTCGGTTAAATTCCAATAGCTCGTTTTATATTCGTTCGCAATGGTTGGCACACGGTCTTTTACGATGCAGACGTCTGTAGAACGTAATTTAAAATAACCGGAAACAATACAGCACAGGAGTAGGTTTGACTTCGAGCATTGCTCAATCCAAGCATCCGAAATTGGCTTCCGGCCCGTCCAACCGAAGAAGAGAAAGCGGCGAGAGCGGGGGGTCTCCGGAGGGGCCCCGATTCGAAACATGGCATGAGCTCCCGGTCGTCAAAATTGGCGCCGCTGCCATGAGGTGGTTCCATGGCAACATGCTGCAGGCCATCGCGGAGGCGCACAACCGCCGCGTTCTGCTGCTCGTCTTCGTGGAAGGTGAGGACACGGCCTCGCAGAGCATGCGCTCCACCTTCGACGACCCGGACGTCGAGAAACTCCTCGATGTCATGGGCTGCGTGCCGATCCGCCTGAGGGCCAACAGCAGCGCCTGCCGACAGTTCACCCTTGTGTACCCGGTGACGGCCGTACCTTCCACCTTTTTCATCAGCTCCAGAGGCAACCTCGAGTCTTCCGTCGTCGGCTGCGTGGATCCGGTGGCCTTCGGGGACCGCCTGGCGTCGCTCATGGCCTCCGCGAACATCAGGAAGGTCGACTCGGACATGCGCAACGCGGTAGATCTTTCCGTTGTAACGGTCGATCGGATGTTCAAGGTTGACCGGCAGCCACCTGCGGCAAAATTTGCGACTCCAGGTGATGCGCAGACTTCGACGCAGCAACCGCCTCCCATAACGGCCGACGCCAAGAAGAAAGAGACGGAGCGCCGGAAGCGAAAGAAGCAGCGCAACGTGGCGAACGTGCAGACCAGTATCCCAGCGTTGGCGGAGCAAGCGACGCAAATCAACTGGGACGACATTTGTTCGTACGGCAACCTCATGCTGAAATTGGCCACCATGGAGGAGTCCCCGCGTGCGTCTGCAGCGGCGTCAAAGATTACTGACGGTGTCCTCTACAAATTTGCGCCCTGCTACGTCTTTGGTAATAACGGCGGTAAGTCTTGTGGCTTGCCATCGCCTGATGGTCCTGGTTCATTACTCGCTCCACCGTCGAGTGTCTTTTCGGGCATACCACAAGAAAATTATTTATGTATGTCTTCTAACGCTCATTACGTAGTCCCCGCTGATGCATATCCTTCTACAACTGTTGGAAAGGTTATGCCTAATGGCCCGGAGACTGTCGTGAGCGACATCAGTGCCCTTACGTGTGGCAATGCAGAAAGGAGGAGAATCTGCAAGAAGCCTGCTCCGGCGGATGAGTGCGTGCCCGACCCCGCATCACCGCCACCATCAACCGACTTATCCAGAGTTCCGATGGAACCTACCAGCGCGAAGCGTACGCCTGCAAGTTATATTTCTGGGGTGCAGCCATTGACGTACGAAGAGATGGAGTGTGTCCTTGAGGACGTCCTGGACGGACCGAGCATGCTGGTCAAATTTGCCGTGCTCGCTCAGGAGTTCGCTGACAAAGTGCTGAGTAACTCGCTCTTTGAGGACCAGAAATCGCTCGACGCTTTCGCAGACGTTGCGAGGCTGCCGGGAGACAGTCGCAAGTCCGCCGCGTCCTCTGCCAAGAAAAAAGAAGCCCGCCCTACAAAGACTGCGAACGCCTCCTCAAAATCGGCAAAGCGCGAAAAGAGGAGAAGTGAAGACACCACAAAGAAGACGCGCCGACTCGAGAACCTTGGGACCGACGTAGGAGACTCTCCGAACGCCATGAAAACGTTAGGTGACAAGACAACTCCCAACGAACAGGGGTCAAGAGGAAGGCTGACCGCGCAGTCTTCTAAGCAGCACAAGTCTGAGGCCCCCTTCAAAGCCGGTACGGGGAAGAGCAAAAAAGTGCGAGAGGCGGGCGAAAATGCAGGACGCAACAGGAAACTTGTTGTCAAGAAGCCGATCGCACCAGAGAGCATTCAAAGCACGTTAGATCAGGTGACCAAAAATATAAAACTGTGGGAAGCCCTTGAGCCCGATGCACGAGCTGCGCCCCCTAAGGGTAAGGGAAAGAAGACAGCTGCCAAGCCATCCAAAGCGTGCACCGAGACTGTCGAAGTGATACCTCCCGCCGAAATAAAGGGAGTCAAGGAGTCGGAACCTCTTCAGCGAACTGTGATTCAGACGATTCTTGAAGAGGAAGCTTGTCCTGACGGACCGCCCCTTGCATTGCCCCCTTCGACAGTCCCGGAACCAACCAAAGTTGAAACCATCGCTCCACCGGTGTTACCACAACCTGTAATCGTAACAAAACAGCGTAAGAAGAAAGCCAAATGCCCGAGCCCTATCACAAGCAAGGAGTTCCTGACGGCCAGCAACTCTCAGCTGAATGAGTTTGTCGTGATCTCGGGCCAACATGAGCCCTCGAAGTTGACTGCACCGGTGCCACGACCTCAGGACCCCCGTGATATCGCCGCTCCCTCCCACGGCAAGAGGCATGCGAGCGACGGCGATGACGAGACAGTTGACGATGAAGACTGCGTTGGATCACCACAGCCGCTCGGCGAGCCCGATCCCGAGTGGCTCGAGCAGGTGATACGGGCGGAGTCGAGACGCGCCATGCTGGGGCGGATGGACGACTCGGTGCAGAACATCTGTAGAGTCTTGAGTGAGGTGGAGAGCCACACACTCTCCCTGAACCACGCGGACAAGGATGCTGCTTTACAGGGCGACAAGTC